AAAAGTACACAGTAAAATTACTTCAATGTATTGTTAGTAGTAGGCTAACTAATACAAAGTCAAACAATATCAATTTCATTAAGAACTAATGGTAAAATTGTCTTTTTATCACTCATCAAAGATAGCAGAAAAACATGCATTATGTAGGCTACTATGGAGGGGACTCTGACAGAGGATTACTCACAAAGTACACAGTAAAAGTAGCCTACTTCATTTCATTTCTGGTAGCAGTCAATTAGTACCGAGTCCAACAGTGTCAGTTTTATTAAGACCTTGTGGACAAAAATATTTGTATCACTCATTGAATATAGCAGGGGGAAAAATGAAGAGCAGCTGATTTGAAAAATCAAACTCGAGAGACGGCTGAGGTGACCAGGTGCCAGAAAGCCACAAGTGGGACAGAGCGCTGTACTTTGTGGCACAAACATACTCTAGAGTTTTTTACCACAAGTTCTTAATAAAACTGACACTGTTGGACTCTGTACTAGTTTGACTGCTACCAGAAATTAAATGAAGTACTTTTACTGTGTACTTTGTGAGTAATCCTCTGTCAAAGTCCCCTCCATAGTAGCCTACATAATGCATGTTTATCTGCTATCTTTGATGAGTGATAAAAATATAATTTTACCATTAGTTCTTAATGAAATTGATACTGTTTGACTTTGTATTAGTTAGCCTACTACTACAATACATTGAAGTAATTTTACTCTGTACGTTTTGAGAAATCCTCTGTGAAAGTCCCCTGCTGAGAACAAAATCAAGCCACTTCTGCTCTAGAGTATGTTGCGCAACTTACATGATGCCGTTTAAAACCATAGACTGTATATATCAGTGACGTGCGGTGAGGTTCATGGCTGGTGAGGCACTGACTCTTTCAGAGTCAGATTTACAAATATTATAGCCTATTTTGACCTTAATCGAAATATTCTGTTATTTTCAAAAGCTTTTTTAGTCTGATGCTATGATTAATTTTAAACAGACCGATCAACAAAAGGATACCCAAAATCTAAATATTGGATTGTTCTTTCTAAGTAAGATCCCATTTTCATTACAGTTGTGGTCTTACCTTGACTTGAAGATGAATATAAGTCCATGCTATCCTTCTGGGCAACAATCTCTATTACTGTTTTGTAAAAGTCCTCCGTATCTTCCTGTAGTTTCAAAAGTCGAGTTTGTTGTTTGCGGTAGAATAACAGTAGCAACAAGAACCTGTGGGCTCACATGCGCCCCCTTCAGTGCGGCAGAGGTTATGGCTGCCTCCCCTGGTGCATTTTCATTGCCGTTGAGAGCAGCGAGCCTAAATATCATATATACGTGAAATAAGTTATTTAGAGACTATGGATGGCGAGGATAAATGTAATAAAGGGATCTACAAACATTACATTGGTGACCTACAGTGAGATGGGAACAGGCATGCGCTTAGGGCCCGCTTTCCAGACAGTTTCTGTGGGGTGACGCATTCTGAGGTGAGGCAGATCTCATCTGTGCCTCACCTACCCCACAGTAAATGGCTTGAGCGCGCTCACAAAATAAGTGGCCGCGCTAAATTAGTGCCCGCGCTCCAGCAAGTTACTGTGGGCTTACGAGAGGCAGTGCTCGTGCCTGCCTCACTTCTCATAGCTCCCGTAGCGGAGCTCGGCAAATTTGCTGATTTTGACTATAAAATGCGATTGGAATCATACAGAAATCACATTTACACAAGATCAGTGGAGACATTTTATTATTATTATTATTTAGTTTTTCTTTAATTGTTTTTCCGTTACATTGGAGTATGACAGGTGAGGCTCTGCCTCCCCTGCCTCCACTGACTGCACGTCGCTGGTATATATAAAGTTTAAAACATATAATAATAAAGGGCGGTGCCAGCCGTCAGTGAACCGAGCCGGCCTTTCTCCGCATCTTATTCATGTCATAAATCTGAAAGCGTTTTAGCTAATCTAAATGAAATATGCGGGACATCGTCTCAATTTGCGGGACGCACCAAAAGTCGTGAAAATGCTGTGCAGTACCGCACAAAGCGGGACATCTGGTCACCCAGACGGCTGAGTTGACCGCAGTGCAGAATCGCTGTATAGTTGAAGTCTCCTAACAATGTTGTCCATTTTAGACATAGGTCTATTATATCTACAGCCCTTAATAACGTTCATTTTCTGGGCTCAATATGTGTCTTGGCTGTTTTCGTTGGGAAAACAAATGGACCGTAGATACACGGATTGACCGTCCTCATCTGCGCTCTTATTTTGTAAGGTAACTTCCGGTAGCAGAATATGAAAAAATTGTAGCTTTTTTGTTTCTGTTTTCTAGTGATTTTATTTTTTGTTTTGAGAAGTAGAAAATGAAAATCATCCCGTTTAGTAAATCCCTTTTTGACCATGATAAAGAAAAACGCCTTGTATTTCAATTTTGGTTTTTCAATTTTAAAACGAAAATCAAATATCCAGTCGTTTTTTGTTTTTGAATTTCCATTTGTGAAAAGAAAATCCAATGACCAAAACATACACTGACCCAAAACATACACTGACCTGAATTCATTTAAAAAAACATGTGGAAAGGATGCTGAAATAACAACATAATGATATTGATTTGAGTTAATGCTTTGTGTCTGCAACACAACAAGCAAAACACTTTAAAATGTTAGTTTTCTGAATGGAGATCTGTTTGATTAAAGCTAGGCTAGGCTAACGTTGTAGCTGCTGTGTCTACACTCAAAATAACTCCATCCAGTCATAAGAACAGCAGCTATTATATTGTTAGCACCACAGACAGTCTCTGGTTTATACAGGTACATGAATAACCCTGATTTCATACGAGGTGCTGTAGAGCTCTGGGTGCTGATGTTCCCTCTTCTGATTTATCTGAGCATGTCAGTGACCACAGGAGCAGAATCTCAACACTGACAGGTTTTTGTAATGGAGCGTCACAAACTTTCAAGTTGTGTGAATACACGGGGGATATGAATTTCACATCTTCACTTGATTTGTGTTGCCAGGCACAAAATGGTGTCTGCGCATTGACCTACATGTTATCGCTTCGCACAAATGAAATCTGCTAATGATACATGCAGCTCACCCGGTTATTGCTATCATTATACTATACTCTACATCGTTTCTGTACTCTACTGCCCTCATGTAATTATAAAAGATCTGTTTAAATGATCAGATAATATAAAACTGAATGCTCTTCAGGTCAGGTTACAGTAGAAACAGACTCTTACTTTGTGTCTGAGGGTCCAGGTTCATCTCTGAAGTACGGAGGTTGCCCTCTAGACCGGTCACTCTTCAGAGACAGACCGCTGGAGACTGGAGATTTGTCCTCTTCCTCATCTTTTGAGTCGCTCATCTTCTCCAGTCTGAGAGATAAACCAGTAACACTGCACACACACACACACACACACACACACACACACACACACACACACACACACACACACACACACACACACACACACACACACACACACACACACACACACACACACACACACACACCACACACACACACACGCACACACACACACACACACACACACACACACACACACACACACACACACACACACACACACACACCACACACACACACACACACACACACACACACACACACACACACACACACACACACACACACACACACACACACACACACACACACACACACACACACACACACACACACACACACACACACACACACACACACACACACAATGATAAACTTGGTTTCAATACAACAAATCAGTCAGACTTCAGACAGGCTGCTCTCCATGTTGACTGCGCTGGGCTGTCACATGTTATGAAACTCTGATGGCTCAGAAACCAGGAAATGGATAAAAAGGTTCACAACATTTGAAGATGTCACTTTCGACTGCAGGAAATAAATACATTTGTATTTACAGATTATTTTCTGACATACAGTTCAACAGAGTAAGTAATGAATGTCTTAAAAACCCGGCAGACTCTGTTGTTAACACTCACCCTGTTTTCCTCCTGCTCTGCGTGTCGAGGTGTGAAATGGAGTCTGGCAGTCTGACTTCCTATTTTAACTTTCAACGTTCCTCCCTGTCTGTAGCTCCTCCCTTTGTTTCATAACCAGCCTCATCACCTGGACAGGTACAAACAGGCATTATTTCCAGTTGCTCTCACAGTAAGACGGTTACAAGAACACGTAATTTATAAGAAAGTTAGAAAATATGCAAGCATGTAAAAACAAGCAAGACAAAGTTATTGAAGAAAAAATTATAATACCACAAAGAGAAAAATAAATCAATAAACATCCTGCATTGAAAACCTTACTTGTGAGGTTGTTTTGGGTACTCTAGTGTTAACTGTGCAGTATATTCTTCCATATTATATTTGTTTGTGGAATAGTATTACTGCTGCATGAGTGCACAAGTTGCATTTTGTAGATTTTTTAAACTCCTTTATATACTCTTGGTTTGTTTATTCTGCAGCAATGCAGATTCTATGAGATCAATATATGTGTGTAGCTTTGTCCTGTGAGAACCACGTATCTCAACTTTGTGCCGATGCTTTTTCAAGCTGATCCAAGAGGCTTTTTAAAGGCATAGCTTAAAGAGAACTGCCTCAACACCTAAATAAATACTGGATCCTAGTTCATCATAAACATTTAAAAATCATCTAAAGATACATGGTTATCACTGGAACATATTACCGCTGCTGTGTGGACGGCCCGTCCACACAGCAGCGTTAAAAAAATCTTCCAACGCTTCTGCCCATTCACTTTGAATGGGGTGACGTCACTTTGCCTCACTTTTCGCCGAACTGCATTGTGGGAAGCAGAGCGGAGATTTCCAGGCATCTCAGGATTCAAAAGTTGAGCAATGTTCAACTTTTGAAGCTGAGGTGGAAGCGTCAGCCAATCAAATCCCGTTTATGCAAATCTAACAGTACAAGCGCTAGCCAATCAAACCGCGTGTAAGCTGGGAGAGCCATACCGCAGGTCATTTCCTCAAAAAATGGAGGAGAAATTAGTGGTAGGGAATCACCCGGTGCTTTATGACCAGTCCCTATTTACCTACCGGGATACAAACCGGAGGAGCCAGGCATGGAGGGAGGTGGCAGAGACAGTGGTAGGTTTTCGCCTGTTTGGGGAGTTTATATCCAGTTTACTTTAGGCTTTTTTGCTTTGTATGTCGGGGCGGGAGATTCATGTGATTGGATGTTGGTCGCGTTGCTCGCAAAAAATCCCCAAGCTTCAGTACGCCCACCTCCAAGGTTTTTTTAACGCTGCTGTGTGGACGCTCTAATGTTAGTGACATAAAATAACTGCATTGTCTCTTGGTGTAGATGTATGCTCTATGAGGAACTACAAAGTACTGAAGCATATCAAATTTAACTCCAAACTAAAGCACATGCCAAGATGTTATGGTCACTGCCAGGAAGCCAGAGAAATGTTCACAGAGTTAAAATACAAACGAACAAGTTAACCTAGAGACCGAAATAAATGTACCTTAAATTAGCTAGTGAACAGTAGCTATTCATTTAACAAGCTAGCTAGCTATCTAACACGCTCATGGATATATAAAGGTTGAATAAGTGAACTGGATACTCCGTTCATTCCTGTGAGTTATTCAGTGGCGCTTGAAGCCCAAAGTGGAGCGAGTGTAGACTCTGAAAGTACCCGGATGTGGGCCCATAGAGCATGCGCAGTTGAGTTTCTCTTAAACCACGCCTCTGATCTCCCGCTCCGTGTCAGTCGGATCAAAGCCTCAGAGTGCAGATTGGTCCATTTCAGAATAATATATATGATATGTTTTATAATGATTGATCATGAAAGTGTTCTCAAAGCTGGTAAAGGTGCAGCTAGTTTGAATGACTTTGTATACTGCAGGGTAGCTTGTGAATTTACTCCAGGTGGAACTAAAGTCTGATTTAACACTTGATTATATTTCACATCATTCATCCACATCTGTAAAGTAACTAAAGGTATTCAATACATGTAGTGCAGTGAGTTACATTTCCACATATTGGCCACATTTGTTCGATATCTTGAATCCCTACTTTGAATTACTACTTGATCAATTAGTTAATGTGTAGAATTAGTTAATTTAATGTTTTAATAGTTTACAGTTTTTTTCCGGAAAACTTAGATAGGTATACTTTTTGTTAGAGTTTGGTAACATTCTCAATGCAGGACTTTGAGTATTTATTTAGCGTTTAGTATTAGTACTTTTACTTAAGTAAAGGACGAGTAAACGTGCTTCATTAAAAAAAATATAAGGCAAGGTTTTTTCTCCATACAGAATCGTGTTTCAAGCTATGGTTTCAAGTCAGCGTTTTATTTTGAAACCCGGATGCAGCGTGTTGTTGCTGAGTGTGACAGCAGCTCAGTTCAGATCAGCTGATGGGAACTGACTCACCTCTTCCCGGACAACATGTCGACACATCCAGCCAGAAAGAAGAAGAAAGAGGACTTCATTCTTTAATGAACTCGCGGAGGAACAGAGCGAGCGGCTGGACCCGGATTCAGGTACAGCTCAGATGTATACACATTACATTACACGAGGGGAAACAACACGCGCTGTTTCTTCACTCTGGGTTATCACTTTATATCAGTTTGAGTCGATTAACACTCGTTTGACTAATCGTTACATTTAATGAATTAAAAACCACTAGATCTTTAAATCTGAGTTTAAAAAGCACTACTTGATATCTAGTGTATTCCAGAGATGTGCTCTGACGTGTTTGTATGGAAACAAGTCATATATCATGAACAAAGTAATACAAATAAAAGAATAATTGGAATCTTAGTCGACACCTAGGATTAAGTCTAAGAATTGATTCCATACATTGATCGATATATCTGTAAAACTGATCAAATCATGGTAATCAAAACTTTCCAACTTATTTTCAACAGGAAATAAGCTTGTATGTTTCTTACAATGAAGTTATTCAGCATGAAACATGACTAATGACCAAATTCCTTGATTAAAAAACAGATAAATAATACTGATGTTTTCTGGAGAGAAAAATGCAAAAGCCCCATCTTCCTCAATTAACGCTACATTTAGTCGACTTATTGATTCCATAAATCCCCCCCCCCCCCGCCTGAAAGCCTTCATTGGACTCCTTTGTTTACTTCAGGAACATAGTGACATCACTTTTGTAACACTGGCTTGCGCACCAACACATTGTACGCTAAGGGGCGGGACATTAACTGCAATATATACCTGGCTGCTAAATCTTCAGAACTGCTACAGGATGTGTATTTTGTAAATTGTGTAGTTATCTTTAATATTTTGTATGCATGCTGCTTAGTTAACATTAAGCTGTCTGTGGCTCTTTTCTGCTGTAACAATGTACATGTCCCCTCTGTGGGACGAATACAGGTATTCTGAATCTGATATATTCTCTTAGACAGAATCTAAACATTCCCACCATGAAACCATAAAACCCTCCAGTCAATATCCATTTGCAAATCCACCTTACAGCACATGTCCCTTCTGTTGGACGAATATACAAGTATTCTGATTCTGATCTGTAAATAGTAGACCAATCCCAACAGAAGGATTTCTGAATTCTGACCTTTTTTCTCAGACTTTTTACATTTTCCCAAAAGTTCGCTTTTTCTCTGAATTGTAACTTTTTTCAGAATTTTTACTTTTCCTTCCAAATTTTTTAAGAATGTTTTTTTTTTTAAAGAACTTTTTGGTCAAATATTTGACTTTTCCCAAAAAGAGTCTTTGTTCCTGAAACTTCACCCAGAATTATGACTTTTGTCCCAGGATGTTTATGGAAGAGGATTTAGGCCATGTGACCAACAATTTGAGATCTGAATGAGAGATGTTTTGGTTTTATTATAATTTTTCCTTTTAATTTTGACTTATTTTCCGAATGTGTCGTTTTCTTAGAATTAACTTTTTTACCTGAATTTTGTATTTTTACAGCAAATTTTGACTTTTCAAAAAACATGATGCAATTAAAAACATTTTAAAAAGTAATTGATATTACAAAAAAATAAACATTAATTAAATTAAATTAGATATTTTTAAGGGCCTGGATGTATGTATATATCGAAACACTTAGCCTATTATAACTTTATAAATTATGCTATATCTATATATATATATAGATATATAGATATTATGGCAGAGAAAAAATATAGATATTAGATTGAATACAAGAAGAGGGGATCTAATTTTTATCTTTTTTGTCAGACAGACTCCTCTGTGACTCCATGCCCTCCTCCTCCTCCTCCTCTTCCTCCTCCTCCTCGCCGCGGTGAAGAGTAACCAGATTAAAGATGTCCGCTGTGGTGGGGGGGGTCTCCTCCTCCGCCCTCAGGGCTCCTGGGGGGGCTCTGGTTCTCCTGCTCTCCGTCACGCTGCTGTCTGGATTCAGCCCACTGTGCATCGCTCGGGGAGGGGGCTGCTGCAGCATGGACCCACGTAATCATTAACATAATCATACTTACTAATTATAATACTACAAATAATATTAATATTGGAATTTAAAATAATACAAATAATAATAATAATAATGATGATAATAATAATGATGATAATAAAATAACAATATATGGACCCAGGTCATAATAATAATACAACTATTACTCTATGTACTTTAACTAAGTTTTACTGATAATACTTTTACCTAAATTTGGTTTTGAATATATATATATACTTGTATACTTGTAACGGAGTATTTTCACATTGAGGTATCAGTACTGAAGCAGCAGGCGTCAGGTTGATCCCTGAGCGTTGTCTTGCAGGTTTCCGGCGCAGGCTGCTCAGCCTGATCAGCTGTTTTGCAGGAGGAGTGTTTTTGGCCACCTGTCTGCTGGAGCAGCTGCCGGACTACCTGCAGAGCATCGAGGAGGCCTTCAGCAGCGCGGGGGTCACCGTAAGACGATATAACACACACACACACACACACACACACACACACACACACACACACACAGGAACGTCACATGACTTCACGTCACCACAGCTGAGATAAAGGTGGCTAACGTTAGGCTATAAATGAACTACAGTACGGTCACATGACTTCACGCAGGGTTGCCAACTCTCACGCATCTGGCGTGTGACACACGCTTTCACTCTCAATCTCACGCTCTCACGCTGCCCAAACTATTCTCACGCCAAAAACAAGAATACGAAGACTAGAAACGGTTTTGAAAACTTTTGTCACGTAGTGATCGTCTTCTCAATAGAACATCTTTTATCATGTCTTCTGGCCAATCAGAATCACGATAACGGCGTGGTGTTGTTGCAGGAAGTCCCGACGGAGAATACTTTTGCTGTAGTACATCTCTATACATCGATACAACATTACGTGTTGATAGAAATCAACACGTAATGAAATAAGACCCCACGGTTTGATGATTGATAGGTGTGTGGGCTGTCTTTCATTTTGACACACAGAACAATGGGGGCTATCCACCCTTATCCACAATGTAAAGTAATTCACACAGCCTCTTCCCTCTTCTCTCTGTGAGGAGCAGCAGGTTCAGCTTTCAGAACAAAGTAACACAAAACTAAAATGGCATTCATTTTTTTAAATGTGTAGTAACAGATTTATTTATTTTTCTTCTCAAGAGAGTACCAGAATGTGTATTTTATGTTAGTATTTCAAAAAACTGTGAAACTGTGTGCCCTTTATAGTCTGTGTCCATTATTGTGTATTTGTATATATTGTATCTATATATATGCTAAGGTCCCGCTGCTGACACGATAGCAGTCATTTCGTGCGCATATGTGTAATTAAACCGAATTAAACCCATGATATCAAAATCTCACTCCAGCCAGGTACCCAAAGTTGGCAACCCTGCTTCACGTCACCATCGCTAAGCTAATGTTCTCACATCACCACGCTAAGCTAAAGGCGGCTAATGTTTGTTCTCCTTTCGATACCAAATCTGATAGTCGTCGTTCACCCTCGTCAGCGTCGTCTTCTTCTCTCCCCGCAGCTTCAGTTCCCTCTGCCTGAGTTCATCATGGCGATGGGTTTCTTCCTGGTTCTGGTTCTGGAGCAGGTCATCCTGGCCTTTAAGGACCAGCCTCAGATGAAGGAGTGTCGCGCTCTGCTGCCGAACTCCAGCGTCAACTCCCACCGCCACGGCGCGTCAGAGGAGTCCGGCGGCAGCCTCTTCCACGTGGACCTGAGCGCGCAGTCGGCCCTGCGCTCCTTCGTCCTGGTCTTCTCGCTGTCGCTGCACTCCGTGTTGGAGGGGCTGGCCGTGGGCCTGCAGGAGATCTACGTGGCAAGGCAAGGCAAGTTTATCTATACAGCATCTTTCAACACAAGGCAATTCAAAGTACTGTACACAAATGAAAAACATGCATTAAGAAATAGTGTCACGGAAACACGTTATGAAATGGTCATTAAAACGCAAAGAGAATAAAACAAACATAAAACAAGCTAATCGTGTACTTTTACTCCACTACATGTATTTAATACATTTAGTTACTTTTCTACTTTTACTTGAGTAACATTTTGATTGTAGGACTTTTACTTGTAACAGAGTATTCCTAAACTCTGATACTTACTTTACCATAGAGTAGGAATACATTGTGACAAGTAAAGGTAAAAGTACTGAAGTACAACATCTGAGTACGCTTCCCCTCTGAACTGAATGCTTCTTCCCCATGTTCAGTTCTGACTCTGGGGCTGATGGTCCACAAGAGCATCATCTCCTTCAGCCTGGCCTGCACGCTGTCACGGGGCCGGCTGCGGCTCCCCCTGGTGGCCGGCTGCCTGCTGCTGTTTGCCGCCATGTTGCCGCTGGGCCTCGGCCTGGGCTCGGCGCTCTCGGAGACGAAGGCGCCCCGGCAGCACCGGCTGGCTCGCTGCACGCTGCAGGGTCTGGCGGCGGGAAGTTTCCTCTACATCACCTTCATGGAGATCCTGCCGCACGAGCTGGGCTCCGGAGGGAACCGCATCCCCAGGGTGGCCTCGCTGCTGGCCGGCTTCGCCTTGGTCACCGCCGTGCTCTTCATCAAACTGTAATCATCCCAGGGAGTTCAGCAGGATAATCTCCATATTAACACCACTTTATTTCTGAAGTAAGAAGCTAACACGTCACCACCGCTAAGCTAAAGGTGGCTAATGATGGGCTTTAAAGGAACTACAGCACGGTCACATGACTTCACGTCACCACCGCTAAGCTAAAGGTGGCTAATGTTGGGCTATAAAGGAACTACAGCACGGTCACATGACTTCACTTCACCACCGCTAAGCTAAAGGCGGCTAATGATGGGCTATAAAGGAACTACAGCACGGTCACATGACTTCACGTCACCACTGCTAAGCTAAAGGTGGCTAATGTTGGGCTATAAAGGAACTACAGCACGGTCACATGACTTCACGTCAACACCGCTAAGCTAAAGGTGGCTAATGTTGGGCTATAAAGGAACTACAGCACGTTAGTTAGCATTACAGCCTTGTCATTTTTATTAGCCTTAACATGAAGTAACATTAAGTAACCCAAAATGTTAAAAAGTAAGAGTAGTAGTCATATTTCGTGAACCCTTTGAAGAGTACTGTACCGGTGTGATCATTCTATAATACACAATTTAAGACCGGGGGAGAAATGCTAACGCTAACGCTAGCGATCTTTTCTACTTCATGCTATCTGCACAAATGGTTGACATTAAACATTAAAACGACCAGGCAGTTCAGAGAGAATCAAAGGAAGGCAGGCAGGCAGCTTTGCATGACATTCTTCAGGACGTGTTTCATTGTGGTGATAGTGAGGGTAGTCAATCGTTTTGTTGACAAGACAGTAGTGACGGCCATCTTGGTGACGTGTGTTGTTGACCAGAGATGTAGTTAATTGAGCGTTTCACACAAACAAATGTGTTACTTCACAGTTTTACGACACATTATTTTTTTTTTGACTTGCAAAATTATCTTTTAAATTGACAAACATCATATGTGTAATTCGTGGCACAATTCAAACGGGATCGAAAGATAATCTTTCTCTCTCCATTGACTTCAATACATAATTTTTCCGAAATAAGGTCCCATGGAGGTCCACCGGAAGGGGAGGGACTTCGCCACTCTATAAAGGAACTACAGCACGGTCACATGACTTCACGTCACCACCGCTAAGCTAAAGGAGGCTAATGTTGGCCGTGATGCTTTTAGTAACTCATGTTAGCAGAGCTGAATTGTTTAGGATTTCAAAACAATAGTAAGCGCTCTGATAGTGCTACGTTCTTATGATTGCTGTGATTAATAAATGTATTTCATTGTGGATCCGTGGCCTACAGGCTGATGTACTGCATCCTGCAGATGAGACGTTTGGGGAACATCAGTCAATTGGAGCGTCTTCTGCTAGTCTGTATAGGTCTGAATATTCCGGGGCCAATAATTAAGGGAAATCTTAGTCCCTGGTTTTGCATATCTTTTTGGACAGCGTGCTTCATTTGATTAATTCTCCATATGTTTCATGGGGGTTGTTTTGTCTCTGTATTTAGGGTGTGTAGTGGTTTCTCATGATTTTTTTGTTGTCATTTTCAGGTTTTTGTTATCATCGTGTGTTTCTTGGTGGCAGTTAATGTCTACTTGTAGTCGTTTAGCACCTCCTTGGGTTTGTTTGTCGGTTTCTGTAGTTGTTTTGTGTCTGTTTTTAACACTGTTTTGGTCTATTTTGAGTTTGTTTGTTTGTTTTTTTTTATTGCGGTGGTCTCTGTGATTGTTTTGCATCTTCCTTTGAGTTATCATAACTTGATTTCTTCTTTTTGTGGTGGTTTCCCGCATCTATGTAGTCGTTGTGTGTCTGTTTATAAACCTTTTTTAATTTGTCTGTGGTTTAGCACCTCCTTGTGGTCATTTTGAGTTTATTTTGCAGGTCTTTATAGTAATTTTTCTTAGTAAGCCACTTGACCCCTGAATCACTAATTGTGTTAACAGATGAAGCAGGAGCTCTCCACACTGAAAATGGAAGCAGAAAATATTACATTACATGTCACTTGTTAGACGCTTTTATCCAAAGCGACTTGCATACATTCAGTACTGAGGACAATCCCCACAGGAGCAACGACACGCTGACTGCAGTGGGACTCGAACTTGCTACATATAGTTTTACGTTCAATACATGGTTTTTTAATAACATCACATCATGTTTCTGTTGAAGTTCTTTCTCCCTGACGCTGGCTCGAACAAACTCCTCACGTGATCTTAGTGTGAAAATATCTACGATGAAAAGCTTTGAGTTTGTATCGGTGTGAAAGTGTGCTGACCGATCTGGAGACAGACGTGAGGTTATTGAACGGAAACAAATGCACTCTTTCTCCTCTGCTGGACGGGACACGCTGCTCGTCTCTCTGCAGCTGAGAAGATACTACACAAAGAGAACCTTGTATCTGCTATTTAAAGACCTGCTGTGATTTACTGTACTCTCAACTTGCTTTGACAGGATTTCATGAACGGACATTTTTTGCATCAATCATAAAAGATGTGACGACAAATATCAATATGTTTTAGACACTTAGAAATGTATTTTTGTAATTATAACACCAAAGAATTTCAACCAAAGCCATTTTAAGGACTACATTATTTTAATCATGTCCAACATATGCGTTCTATTTTGTATTGTGATGAAATGTGAAAGACTGACTTTAACGTAAAATATTTGTCAGTATCAAACAGTGACTGAGATTCTCTATTTTGTACTTTTAAATATAACATATTAAGGTTTCAAGATTTATTTTAAAGAGTCCTCTCCTGCTGATGTTCAGGTGTATATCAGTATGTAGTGTCTCTACTTTAAAGAGTCCTCTCCTGCTGATGTTCAGGTGTATATCAGTATGTAGTGTCTCTACTTTAAAGAGTCCTCTCCTGCTGATGTTCAGGTGTATATCAGTATGTAGTGTCTCTACTTTAAAGAGTCCTCTCCTGCTGATGTTCAGGTGTATATCAGTATGTAGTGTCTCTACTTTAAAGAGTCCTCTCCTGCTGATGTTCAGGTGTATATCAGTATGTAGTGTCTCTCCTGGGACATGTGTCCATGCTTTAATGTACCAAAAGCTCTTTATTTTTCTCATACTGCCTGTGCTGCCGCTTAGAGATGTCCCGCCCCTCAGCCTATCAGGTGCAATGTGTTGAAGCGCTAGCAAATTTGTACATGTTCAGCTAAATTTGCTCAGCAAGAGATATTGGAAATAATGCCCTTTTATTTTTGTATTTGTAATTCTGGGTGTGTGTGTGTGTGTGTGTGTGTGTGTGTGTGTGTGTGTGTGTGTGTGTGTGTGTGTGTGTGTGTGTGTGTGTGTGTGTGTGTGTGTGTGTGTGTGTGTGTGTGTGTGTGTGTGTGTGTGTGTTTCTTGACCTTGTGACACAAGCAATACATTAGTTAATTAATTAAATATGTACCTTTAGTTGATGGGAGCTCCCCTAGTTGACCTGTCCTGATACTATTTGGGTTTCATGCAGTGTCCAAATATAAAGTTGTATTCGAATAGTAGTAGTTTTGGTATAATTGACTGTATTCTAACTTGTTTATTTATATGGAGCATATGTATTTATCACAGATTACTCGATGATATGAACGCTGTTATCTTTCTGTATCTTCTGCCTGCAGTAGCTGAACTCTGCCGGCAGGGGGCCTTCTCCAATTGTAAACAACAACCAAAGCTCCTCTGTATCTGACAGGAGGTCTCACTTCGAGCAAAATAAAATAGTAGGCGGTCACAACTCTCATATACGCCATGATCTCATTTCTCTCACACACACACACACACACACTGAAATATGATAATATTATGTAATAATCTGCAGTTTTTTTATTAAGTAAACAGTTTGAAACCTTTTCTTTAATGTAATAATTTCAAAAAATTGTCTTCCAGTCTTGAAGTTACAACTAAAGGTATTAAATACATGTAGAGGAGTAGAAGTACAAAGTAACATAACATGGAAATACTCAAGTGAAGTACAAGTACACGTCTGGCTTTTAATGTGGGATTGTTGTTGTATTGCTTGATTTTAATTTGACTTCAACTATATTTATTTGTTGTTCTTTTCTTTTCACTATCTCTGTAAAGCGACTTTGAGCACCTGTAAAAGCGCTAACAAAATTAATCTGTTATTAATATGATTAGGTACCTCAAAATTGAGAGATTCTGCGGAGTGTGACCCCCTCCTCTGAGAGACTCTGCACGGAGTGAGACCTCCTCCTCTGAGAGACTGACTGAGACCTCCTCCCTCTGAGAGACGGACCTCCTCCCTCTGAGAGGCGGAGTTAGACCTCCTCCTCTGACAGCGGCTCCACTACGTCAGGTCTCCCCGGGTGAAGATGTCTGCCTCGGGTACAGGCTGCGGACCCGCCTCGGGACCCGGGTGCGGGGCTTCAAACCCCCGAAAGTTTAGCGAGAAGATAGCGCTGCACACCCAGCGACAGGCCGAGGAGACGGCCGCCTTCCAGGAGGTCATGATGGACATCACCTCCACCAGGGTGAGTGTGATGCGAGCTGCCCGGAGGATCAGAGGCCTCCCCGGGCTCCATGAGAGCCTCATTATCCGGCCTCCACACGGCGCTCCGCTTGGACCTCACGGTGTAAAGCAGCCGCTCAGAGGCTATGTTTCCCGGCTGGAGTGTTAGCTGCTGTCCGCTTCCGATGCGAAGTCAGCGGAGTTAGCATCAGCGTTAGCCACCGGGGCTAAGTGTTGTTTACTCTTAGGTGGTAGAAGTACTCAGATATTTACTTACAGTGGTGTAAAGTAACTAAGTACATTTACTCAAGTACTGTGCACAATGACTACTTTTACTTGAGGAACATTTGTACTTTTAGACCGTACTTCTACTTGTACTCAAGTACCAGACCTGTGTAGTTCTACTTTTACTCAAGTACCAGACTTGTGTACCTCAACTTTTACTCAAGTAAAATATCGGACTACTTCTACTTTTACTCAAGTACAAGATCTGAGTACTTTTACTTTTACTCAAGTAAAATATCGGACTACTTCTACTTTTACTAAGTACATGATCTGAGTACTTCTACTTTTACTCAAGTACCAAACCTGACTACTTCTACTTTTAATAAGTACCAGACCTGAGTACTTCTACGTTTACTCAAGTACCAGACCTGAGTACTTCTACGTTTACTCAAGTACCAGACCTGAGTACTTCTACTTTTAATAAGTACCAGACCTGAGTACTTTACGGTTCCAGCAGACTTCTGACACATGCTAAGTGTTTATTAACTGAAGCAGGAAGTGATGCTTCAGACCTGCAGCTAAAACACAACGTTTATTCTAACATACTTTATGTGGGTTTTCATAAGTGTTCTTATAAAGAAGAGAATGTTAAAGATTATTTTTAAAGTTAACATTAAGCAGCAACTCTTGTATTGGACTGAATCTTCAGATGGTGTATTATTCATCCCTATACTACAATTTTTTTTTTTTAAAAACCAAACGTTCCTGGTTAAATGTAATCTGTGTCCTTCTTTCATTCTCATGGTTGGTTTGGGCATGATGTTTCCAGCTCTCACTGAGGCTAACCATGACTAACTATGAGAGCTATAAATCCCATGAATCCCAATACAGCTGCTGGGCTTCCTCCGTGTGTGAGGCAGGAGTGCTGCAGGATTATGGGGATTATTTAGTGCTTAAATATGTTCATCAGGTGAGATGTTGTGCTGCGTGGGTACAGGTGTACTGCCTTTAAGCGTCTTTGGGCGATGTGAAAGGTGCCAAATAAATGTCCTGTTTTATTATTATGATTATTGCCAGGCACGACATACTAACATGTTACTTTGGAAAGTTGAAATAGCCTTTCTCCTTTTTGTTTTCTGAGTTTAAAAGCTAATAAAGATGCAATTAAAGCACAATTCTGTTCAATTACAGCTTTAAAATAATCTATTTTACGGTTGAGGCGTCCTTGGTATTCTTTCACTCCCCTTCTGAGAACACAGAGCTGCTGATGCGAGTCCAGCTGTTACACATCCATCCATCTCTTGTAATAAATCAGCTTTTATTTTCCAGAGGAATCACCGCAGAGCGAGCACACAATGCAATGGATCAGCCGCTGTCTCGTCTCACGTCTCACGATCGATAAAGTTATTCAATTAAGCTCTGGACAGTCGGCTCTCTCCTTAAACACGCAGCCCTTTCTCTCTTTATCTGCAGATTAACAGGCACAAGCAATTCTTTAAAAAGGACGTGTTAATCGATACTGAGCGTGATTGATACTCGTCTGAAAAGAGACACACACACACACACACACACACTCTCCAATCAGCTAATAGCATCAGGGTGTGTGTGTTGCTAGCAGCCGTAGCTCCTCGTTGGAAGCTGTTCAGTATTGATATGCAGTTTATCTTCCAAACATCACACACACACACACACACACACACACACACACACACACACACACACACGCTTTAAACTACAGAAATCAGAGGCAGCAGTTTGAACAGGTAGTAGCAGAAGAAGTACTCGGGTCTCTTACGTGAATTATTATTATTATTGAGGGACATTGTCTGTTTCTTTTTCAAAATAAAAGATCTCTTTTGTTGAGTAGACAGAATCCCTTCATTTGTTATCAAAAGGCTTTTATTTTTGAAATAGTTGCAGGAAAGTGTTATTGGAAATAGCAGTGACTTTCACAGCTCCCTTTACACAGTATAGGCTTCTTAGTTACTGAATATTATTATTGTTTACAAATTATCTGTCTCTACTTTAAAGAGTCCTCTCCTGCTGATGTTCAGGTGTATATCAGTATGTAGTGTCTCTACTTTAAAGAGTCCTCTCCTGCTGATGTTCAGGTGTATATCAGTATGTAGTGTCTCTACTTTAAAGAGTCCTCTCCTGCTGATGTTCAGGTGTATATCAGTATGTAGTGTCTCTACTTTAAAGAGTCCTCTCCAGCTGATGTTCAGGTGTATATCAGTATGTAGTGTCTCTACTTTAAAGAGTCCTCTCCTGCTGATGTTCAGGTGTATATCAGTATGTAGTGTCTCTACTTTAAAGAGTCCTCTCCTGCTGATGTTCAGGTGTATATCAGTATGTAGTGTCTCTACTTTAAAGAGTCCTCTCCTGCTGATGTTCAGGTGTATATCAGTATGTAGTGTCTCTACTTTAAAGAGTCCTCTCCAGCTGATGTTCAGGTGTATATCAGTATGTAGTGTCTCTACTTTAAAGAGTCCTCTCCTGCTGATGTTCAGGTGTATATCAGTATGTAGTGTCTCTACTTTAAAGAGTCCTCTCCTGCTGGTGTTCAGGTGTATATCAGTATGTAGTGTCTCTACTTTAAAGAGTCCTCTCCTGCTGATGTTCAGGTGTATATCAGTATGTAGTGTCTCTACTTTAAAGAGTCCTCTCCTGCTGATGTTCAGGTGTATATCAGTATGTGGTGTCTCTACTTTAAAGAGTCCTCTCCTGCTGATGTTCAGGTGTATATCAGTATGTAGTGTCTCTACTTTAAAGAGTCCTCTCCTGCTGATGTTCAGGTGTATATCAGTATGTAGTGTCTCTACTTTAAAGAGTCCTCTCCTGCTGATGTTCAGGTGTATATCAGTATGTGGTGTCTCTACTTTAAAGAGTCCTCTCCTGCTGATGTTCAGGTGTATATCAGTATGTAGTGTCTCTACTTTAAAGAGTCCTCTCCTGATGATGTTCAGGTGTATATCAGTATGTAGCATCTCTACTTTAAAGAGTCCTCTCCTGCAGGTGTGTATCAGCACCTCTTTTCCCCCTCTGTCTGAAACCAGAGATGTAGTCGTTGTTATCTCGGTGCGTGTCTCTCTGTAATGGTGTTGCCGTGTTCCAGCCTGCAGACTAACAGTGGTTACCATCTGAGTCATAATAAGTTGTTTGTTTGGTTGTTTTTAGGAAAGATATTCTTAGAAACCGATGATTGTTAGTTTATCTCACATCCACAAGTGTTTATCTCTTTTTACTTTCACGCCATCTTTCCTCCTAATGTTGGTGTTTAGCATTTAGAAAAGCCTCAAAACTTCAAGTCACCTTTGTATGGGAAGGCGTCACGATAATAACGTTACTCATATATATTTTATTCTATTAAGGGATACATTGTAAGTTATGTCAATGTGAAAGTGTTCCACTGAGGTGGACGATGACGTCTAATATCTATTCTTATTGTACAATATGTGGCCGAAATCATCAGAAACGCTATAAATCATAATAAATATCTATGGTATTAACTTTTCTATTGGCTTTCTTTGATTTATGTGTCTATAATTTCATTATGCAGTTACGTTCTTAAAACAGCGGACAATACTATGGTTTTTAAATGTATTTTTTAGTATTACATTCAGTTTAATTTAGTTATATATATATATATATATATATATATGAAATAGGATTTACCATTTGACTATTTTTATTTGAAGCTCTTATAGTTAAATATATAGAGAAGGGAAGATTAAGTAAAAAAAGATGTCCAATAAAAAGATAAACCATTTATAATGAAAAATAAGCAGTGAAAATGTGCACAATGTACAATATAAAACAACAGAGAGAATCTCCCTCTGGAGGGAACATCAATCAATCAATGTTTATTTATATAGCCCAATATCACACATGTTACATTTGTCTCAGTGGACTTCACAGTTTGTACAGAATATCAGTATGACAATACGACACCCTCTGTCCTTAGACCCTCTGTCCTTAGACCCTCTGTCCTTAGACCCTCACATCGTACAAGGAAATACTTCCAGAGAAACCCCACAGTTTAAAGGAACATGGGAGAAACCTCAGGGAGAGCAACAGAGGAGGGATCCCTCTCCCAGGACGGACAGATGTGCAATAGATGCCGTGTGTAAATCTAAGAGATAATACATTTTACAGCGTAGGTAGGTAGACCGAATGTTTGGAAATGCATGTGTCTATAATAAGAAGATGAATCCACGAGGATGTCCATCCAGGACTCATGATCCAGGACCACAGCAGCACGATCAGCCACGACTCAGGATCCCAGCGTATATAGACACCAAAAAGACATTTGGGGAAGCTGGGTTAACATGGATTTTAGCGTCTGCAGACCATTCACATGCACTAAAACCCATAGAACACTACAGGAGAGGGAACCCCCCAAAGAGCAGAATAGGGTCCACGTTTGAAGAAGCATTAAATGGAATGAAGTAAAGTGCAATACTAGTTACTTTAGTTTACTCCCAGTTGTAGTTTGTTCTCTTGGTAAAGACTGTTCTCTGTGTCCGGTTGCAGCTGCAGGCCCAGAAGCTGCGTCTGGCCCGGAGTCAGGGGCCGTATTACGGGGGGTCTCTGCCCAACGTCAACCAGATCGGGAGGAACCATCAGGACCACTTCCAGGTGAGTACAAGTACAAGACCTGAGTACTTTTAATTGTACTCAAGTACAAGATCTGACTACTTCTACTTTTACTCAAGTACAAGACCTGAGTACTTCTCCTTTACTTGAGTACCTGACCTGAGTACTTCTCCTTTACTTGAGTACCTGACCTGAGTACTTCTCCCCTCAGGGCTCCTTCCCCTCCTCCCTGGAATCGAACCGCTCCACGCGGCACCACGGTCTGGTGGAGCGCGTGCAGAGAGATCGTGGCTTCGTGTCTCCGGTGCGACCGTACCGCCGGCAGGTATCCTTCAGTTCAGACCCTTCATTTCAGACCCTTCAGTTCAGACCCTTCAGTTCAGACCCTTCAGTTCAGACCCTTCAGTTCAGATCCTTCAGTTCAGACCCTTCATTTCAGACCCTTCAGTTCAGACCCTTCATTTCAGACCCTTCAGTTCAGACCCTTCAGTTCAGACCCTTCAGTTCAGACCCTTCATTTCAGACCCTTCATTTCAGACCCTTCATTTCAGACCCTTCAGTTCAGACCCTTCAGTTCAGACCCTTCAGTTCAGACCCTTCAGGTCAGACCCTTCAGTTCAGACCCTTCAGTTCAGACCCTTCAGTTCAGACCCTTCAGTTCAGACCCTTCATTTCAGACCCTTCAGTTCAGACCCTTCATTTCAGACCCTTCAGGTCAGACCCTTCAGGTCAGACCCTTCAGTTCAGACCCTTCAGTTCAGACCCTTCAGTTCAGACCCTTCAGGTCAGACCCTTCAGGTCAGACCCTTCAGTTCAGACCCTTCAGGTCAGACCCTTCAGGTCAGACCCTTCAGTTCAGACCCTTCAGTTCAGACCCTTCAAATCAAATCAAGTTTTATTTATATAGCACATTTTTAAACGATTTTTGGTCGAGCCAAAGTGCTGTACATATAATAAAAATACCCTACAGCAGGGGTCGGCAACCCCTGGCACGCGTGCCACCAATGGCACGCGGCACCGTAACCAGTGGCACACTAGGAATAAGTGGAATAAGTGTACAAAATATTTATTTTATTTTCGGATCCTGAACGAGACCGCCGCCAGAGCGCGTCTCCCCGTTACCTGCAGAAGGAAGCCATGCACGCAACGCAGCCCCACTCAAAAAGGCCGATCGCGAGACGTAACATACATGACACTTTTCTCTGTGTGCGGCAAAACAAGCTCGCCAAAATGGCTTCACCAGTCTGGCAGTATTTTAAGGTGTCCGAAAAGGACTATAAAATAGCGGTATGCAACGTGTGTGTGAAGCAGAAATCCTGCAGCTCCACCCGCTGTGACGGACCGGTGAGCGGAGCAAAACACACAAGTTAGACCTAACACACTTGGCTATTTTATCTACCTTTGGAACTAGTTATAAATATATTTATTCTTCACTGTCGGGTCACTCATTACTGGATCAGTGAGCTGCATGAGATACTGACAGGCTGTCAGGAGAGAGAGAGAGGGGGAGAGAGGAAAAGAGAGCGCTTCCGCTCATTTCTCCCGTGTTATTATCCAAAGTTAATGTAAACTTGAATAATGTACTTCATTTGAATGTAATAATTATGTTGGTTGTTTGTGGAAGCGCCAGAGAATGAGCCCCATTAACTGAGTTTTAAACATCACTTTTCACGAGTGTTTTCGTCGAGCTCTTCAACACCCCCCCCCCCCGTTGATAATTCACGATCGTCGGCACGCTGATAAAACATTTTTTTTAGAATGGCACTTCATATCAAAAAGGTTGCCGACCCCTTACCCTACAGTAAAGACACTTTACAGCAAATATAACAGCACAGTTTGTTCAGAATATCAGTATGAGAAAAACGACACCCTCTGTCCTTAGACCCTCTGTCCTTAGACCCTCTGTCCTTAGACCCTCTGTCCTTAGACCCTCACATCGTACAAGGAAAAACTTCCAGAGGAAAAACCCACATTTCAAAGGCAAAAATGGGAGAAACCTCAGAGAGAGCAACAGAGGAGGGATCCCTCTCCCAGGACGGACAGACGTGCAATAGATGCCGCGTGTAAATCGAAGAGATAATACATTTACAACGTAGGTAGACCAAATGTTTGGAAATGCATGTGTCTATATTAAGAAGATGAATCCACGAGGATGTCAACAACCCTGTGGGAGCCATCAGGGAAGTAGTATGACGAGACCCAGGCAGGACCGCAGAGACAGGCCCAGCCACGACCCGAAGTCCACGACTTGATCCAGAATTAATAAAAATATGATTTAATTAATTACTAGTTAATTAATTTTTATATTTTGATTCAAGTTATAGTATAATTAAATAATAATAAATATACTTTATTTATATAGCATTTTCCAAAAACGATTTGGTTTACAGACATACAGGCAGCGATCCCCACCCTGCTCCCAACACTACGATGGGTCAAATGCAGAATGTTCATTTCCCCTCTGTGGGACGATAAAGGGTTTATCAAATAAAAAACATCACACTCAAGAGACGGATAAAAGACAATAAGGGGAATATTAGATTATAAAACAGCCTCACCCTGACCCTGTGTTTATCAGTGAGTCTGAACAACGCCCCGCCCCGGGAGATAGGGGACCTTTAAAACCACATCAATGGATCCAGATTGACCCTGTTCCAGAGTGATGGGGGCCTCAGGGAGAGAGGCGGAGGAAGGGTACTCATGTATAAAAGACATGAAAAAGTGGATTTTGCACAATAGGTGACCTTTAAGCCCCCCCCCCCCCCCCCTCAACAACTAGTGCAGTCACTATGCTACGCTGCTGTAAAGCTATTCTCTATTCAGTTATAACTGATATGAAACGTGTCACAGGACCAGAAGCTCACCCAGGAAGTCACGCCAGTCCTCCAGATTGCACATGTGGCCGAGAAACCTCAGTTCTTTGTGCACGGATGCTTTGTGTTTCCTTAACTCTCATCTCCTCAGGTGGACAGCTCTCCGTATAACTCCGCCTACCTGTCCCCGCCTCCGGACCCCAGCTGGAGAAGGTACCCCCCCCCTCTCTCTCTTTACTTCCTGTCTGTCTCCATGTAAACGCCGCTGTCCTCGAGGAGGCCATGTTTGTTTTCAGCATCTTGTTTCTGTCTCCTCTGCTCCTGGACACCTGAGTGAAGCCTGAGGGACGCCCGGGGTCTAAAGAGGGACACAAGACGTCCGACTGTCTGCAGATCTAATTATCAGTTAAAGCTATGAAATAGTGAGGGAAAAGAGGAGTTTGATGTTAAAATGAGTTTCTCTCTGCACGCTGTTGGGCGGCTGCTAACGTTAGCTTAGCTTGTTTCTCTGATAACTCCCAACCCAGTCTCACGGCATTTCGTGTTAATTTAATCTATTGATTCGTGTTCACCAACACGATTTTCACCTTTTTTTCGTGTCACACAGAACGATTTTAAATGCAATGTATTTCTATTGGTAGTATGTTTCGTGCCTGCAACACGTCTTTTTGTCCGGTCGGGTCTTGGAAGACCAGAAGCTGTGTGGTTCATAAAAACATGTTCTTACTCAATATCTTACCCTAAGCCTAACCCTATCCCTTTTATTTTAAATTGTATAATGTCTGAGTGTTTTTGCCGTCAGTGAGGAAAAGAAATGGCTCAGAGCCTCAGAATACTGACATCTGTATTTTATGTCATCTTTTTTTCCTTCTAATTTGTTATTATTTGGTGCAGGCACGAAACATACTACCAATATAAATACATTGCTTCTAAAATCGTTCTGTGTCAGAATACTTAAATCTGTATTTTTTTAAATGTCTTTTTCCTTCTAATTTGTTATTATTTACATTGCTTTTAAAATCGTTCTGTGTGACACGAAAAAAATGGCGAAATCGTGTTGGTGAACACGAATCAATAGATTAATTTCGTGACTATAACACGAAATGCCGTGAGACTGGGGTGCAACTCCAGATGTCTGAAATCCTTCATCCTGTAACTTAGGTTCAAATGACGCCATGACAGGAGACCAGAGGGAACTAAATAACATTTTAAACCCATTACTTTTTTCGTCTTTTAATATTGCATTAAAAAATATATATTCTCTAAAATTAAAATGGTAAATTAGCCGGAAGTCGATGAAGTGAACGTGCGCCTTTTCATCTCAGGGTTTTTTCTTGTAAACAAAGCAATTTATTTAGAGAACAGGAATATTAAACCTCATCATCTGACTCTGATTATTTTCCCCTGCAATGGTTTTTATATGAAACCCACTGCCGCCTTTAGCGTAACACTTCTCTCTGGGATAATACAAGACACAACTCAACAATTGTAGTCATTTTTAAGACATTTTAACATGGAACTGCTGCTTATTATATCATTAACATATATATATATATATATATATATATATAAACACATGTCATTTAAGGGTTTGTTAGAAAAGCAGCATCGAACTCGAAGCTCTCCGATCTCTAGAAATACTCCTGCATTGAAGATGGAGCTTTAGAGGAAGGACAAACGTATTGAATGTACCCAAACTGAAAGTACTGGCGATGATCAGATCATATTTAGTGTTTCTGGATGAGAGCATGCAGACGTAGTTTGTGCTGGGCGACGCTGAGGCTTCACCAAGGTCTTCACTCCGCAGCACTAACCTCGACACTAACAGGAAGTGGAAGCCGGCTCTGAAGAGCTCTCAGTTCTTCTTTTATTTTTCCTCTTTTTATTTGTCTTTCTTTGAGGCTATTTCTTCTCTTTTCTGCAACCGGTCGTTTTCATTTATTTTAACCTCCCAGCCTCCCTTCTGCCTGGAGGTCCTTGTAACCAACACGCACACACACGCACACGCACACGCAGGCACAGGCACACACACACACACACGCACACAAGCACACAAGCACACACAGGCACAGGCACACACACACACACACACGCACGCACGCACACAGTTCTACACACGCACGCACGCACACAGTTCTACACACGCACGCACGCACACAGTTCTACACACACACACACGTACAGATTCACACACACACACACACATGTACAGATTCACACGCACACACAGAGGCACACAGTTCTACACACACACATGTGCAGATACACACACACACACACACACACAGGTCAACGCTCACACTCATGCAAAGGTCCACACGCAGCCCATTTAATAATTGTTTTTCTTTTAAAAAGTCTGAAATGAGAAACACCCAGAAGTCTGTTATAACGAAGGAGTTAATGGAATATTATACTGCCGATATTTACAATAAAAAAAGACTATTTAAGGAACCAGTCGCTCATAATAATCGGAGGTTAACTGAATATATTTCAGCTGTGCACAAAAGAAGATATTTAAGGTCGGCATCGTTGACGTTTTTCAGCCCTTAACAAGTCGCCGAGGAGATCATTCACAAATAAATCGGCAATAAAATAAAGGATACGCAGCTCTTGTGTCGAGTGCTCTGGCAGCAGATGAGAACCACCGAGGCTCTTTAACTGAAGCTCGAGGGGGGGGAGTCCCACTTTATAAGGTCTAAATCAGGGCTGTCATGGTTTCTGAGGCAGTTTTATTTGTATTTAAACCACACCAGGCGCCAGAGAAGTGACAACGAGACGATGGATGACATCAGCAGGGATAAATATGTGCTGAAAGGAAACAAAACACAGTGAGGGTTTGTCCTTAAGTTAAAGTTCCCCTATCATCCTCTTCTTCATCAATATATCACAGGTCTCAGATATATCCAGGGCCTGTCTCTGATTGGCTGAAACACCAAACAGATCATTGCAGCATTACCCATAATCCCCTCTGTTTCAGCCCTGTTTCCAAAGTGCTGATTCTCTGTCTGTTACTTTAGATGAAAATAAGGAGCCCCTCCCCACGCCCCTCTGAGAGAGATTTGGTTACAAAGAACTCAATGGTGCTCTAGGAGGAGATTCAGGTGATAAGGGGGGGGCAGAGGTCGCGTTAACCGAATATATTCCGTCTATGATGGATTTTTTTTTTTACAATGACGGAAAAATCTGAAAGCAGTCCGTCATTTTGATGATTAGAACAAACTCAGAACAGCGCCGAAGCTTCCCCGCAGCGACGCTCCGGTGTTAAGCCGTTATCAAATCAAATCAAATCAAATCAAATCAAGGTTTATTTATAAAGCACATTTAAAAGCGATTTTTGGTCGGGCCAAAGTGCTGTACATGTAATAACTACAATCACATAAAAACACATTTCTATAATCACAATAAAAGACAATAAATTACAACAGATATTTAAAAAAAAACACAGGGAAAAGTCAGGAGTCGTGCTCCGCTCTGACTAAAAGGCCAGGGAGAAGAAGTGTGTCTTAAGAGTAGATTTAAAAACCCCTAGGGTCTGGGCCGACCTCACATGGAGGGGCAGAGTGTTCCAGAGCCTAGGGCCAGCTGCTGCGAAGGCTCGGTGCCCTCGGGTTTTGAGCCTGGTCTTGGGCACTACCAGCAGCAGCTGGTCAGCAGACCTTAAAGCTCTGGCTGGGGTGTAGCGCTGGAGGAGTTCAGCTATATAGGCCGGAGCCAGCCCATTTAGTGCTTTAAAAACAAATAAAAGGAGTTTAAAATCTATTCTGAACCGAACTGGAAGCCAGTGCAGTGAGGCCAGAATTGGGGTGATGTGGTCACGCTTTTTGTGGCCAGTGAGTAGACGTGCAGCTGCGTTCTGGACTAGCTGTAAGCGTTTAATTGAGGCCTGGTCCATACCCACGTACAGAGCGTTGCAGTAGTCCAACCTCGAGGTAACAAAGGCGTTAATAACCCTTTCCGTTATGCCGTTAAGCCGTTTCCAGACCTAACTCTGCTGAACAAATCATTGAAATATCTGGGAGTCTATACTTTAAGCTGTGGTGCGCGCCCGCGAGGTGCAGTGGGCATGCATAACACGGCATAACACCGGTGTTGTGCCAAATGATGCACCCCTTGTCACGGGAACACGCATTTCTAAATGAAACGTTTACACCTTAAAACGATGCTTAAAACGAAAAGTTAACGTCCAGGTTTTTTCAACGGTAATTGTCAGACTGCGTTTAGCTGGAGCTCATAGAGTCTTGATTCTTGTAGTTAAACTTTTCACTCCGTATTTTTGATGGTTGGGGTGTTGCAATACACGTTGGTCAGGGGGACATTATTTGTTGACGCACAGGTGGCGCGAGGGGACGACATGAGCCGAGGGACCAGCGACCACTAAACTTTATAAACTTGCTCGCTGCCTCCATCTTCTTCCTCCTCCTCCTCCTCCTCCTTCTCCTCCTCCTCCGCTTGCTTCTTCCTGCTGCTTCTTCTTTCCTCCTCCTCTCCGATGTTTTCCCGGTGGTAACTTTTTGTTCTTGTCGATCATAAAAAAAGGAATTGGTCTGGAAACTTCCCCGGGGATAAAAGCCAGTTGTTTCGTCTCCCCGTCACTGCACTCAACAGGTGAATCCCCCTCTTCCTCCCCCTCCTCTTCTTCCTCCTCTCCCTCCTCTTCCTCCCTCCATCAGAGTGGAAGTGGAGGATGAAATAATGAAAACATGTTGGGGGAAATGAGAATCCCGTGGAGCTTCTGTTTGTTTTTCTCTGTTTGGACTCAGAGATCTTTTTTGAAGATTCACACAAAATAAACGCGTCTATTTTCTCCTTTTGACTTTGACCAATCTCAAGATCGACCTCTCTTTTTTCTGTTTTCTAAACACATCTGTGAGTATACCGCTGTTATCAATATCATGAAGGTAACATGTTTGTGTCTGATACTTAGGTAAGTATAATGAAAATACTCAAGTAAAGTACAAATACCTAAAGTCCGTGTGTTTGTCTTATTGTACGGCGTGTCCTTTATCGCACGTGTCGCTGTGACTGAGTGTTGTTTATAACGGGAGCTGTCAGGTGTTCCTCCTCTCGGGGAAGCCAGCATGGCATCGCTCCGATATCACAGCTTTACTGTCATCTATCACCATGGAGATTAAAACAGCGTTGGTGTTATAGAGAGATTGTCTGATTGAAGTGTTTACGTTTTATTTAATCTCTCAGGACTAACTCTGACTCGGCGCTCCACACCAGCGTGATGAACCCCCCCCAAGGAGACCCCTTCTCCACAGGGGGGCCCCTCCAGAGCAGCAGACGCTCAGGTGAGGCCACACACACACACACACACACACACACACACACAGGTCAGATGACTTCACGTCACCACCGCTAAGCTAAAGGTGGCTAATGTTGGGCTATAAAGGAACTACAGCACGGTCACATGACTTCACGTTACCACCGCTAAGCTAAAGGCGGCTAATGTTGGGCTATAAAGGAACTACAGCACGGTCACATGACTTCACGTCACCACCGCTAAGCTAAAGGTGGCTAATGTTGGGCTATAAAGGAACTACAGCACGGTCACATGACTTCACGTCACCACCGCTAAGCTAAAGGTGGCTAATGTTGGGCTATAAAGGAACTACAGCACGGTCACATGACTTCACGTCACCACCGCTAAGCTAAAGGCGGTTAATGTTGGGCTATAAAGGAACTACAGCACGGTCACATGATTTCACGTCACCACCGCTAAGTTAAAGGTGGCTAATGTTGGGCTATAAAGGAACTACAGCAAGGTCACATGACTTCACGTCACCACCGCTAAGCTAAAGGTGGCTAATGTTGGGCTATAAAGGAACTACAGCACGGTCACATGACTTCACATCACCACCGCTAAGCTAAAGGCGGCTAATGTTGGGCTATAAAGGAACTACAGCACGGTCACATGACTTCACGTCACCACCGCTAAGCTAAAGGTGGCTAATGTTGGACTATAAAGGAACTACAGCACGGTCACATGACTTCACGTGACCACCGCTAAGCTAAAGGTGGCTAATGTTGGGCTATAAAGGAACTACAGCACGGTCACATGACTTCACGTCACCACCGCTAAGCTAAAGGTGGCTAACGTTGGGCTATAAAGGAACTACAGCACGGTCACATGACTTCACATCACCACCGCTAAGCTAAAGGTGGCTAATGTTGGGCTATAAAGGAACTACAGCACGGTCACATGACTTCACGTCACCACCGCTAAGCTAAAGGCGGCTAATGTTGGGCTATAAAGGAACTACAGCACGGTCACATGACTTCACGTCACCACCGCTAAGCTAAAGGTGGCTAATGTTGGGCTATAAAGGAACTACAGCACGGTCACATGACTTCACGTCACCACCGCTAAGCTAAAGGTGGCTAATGTTGGGCTATAAAGGAACTACAGCACGGTCACATGACTTCACGTTACCACCGCTAAGCTAAAGGCGGCTAATGTTGGGCTATAAAGGAACTACAGCACGGTCACATGACCTCACATCACCACCGCTAAGCTAAAGGTGGCTAATGTTGGGCTATAAAGGAACTACAGCACGGTCACATGACTTCACGTCAACACCGCTAAGCTAAAGGTGGCTAATGTTGGGCTATAAAGGAACTACATCACGGTCACATGACTTCACGTCACCACCGCTAAGCTAAAGGTGGCTAATGTTGGGCTATAAAGGAACTACAGCACGGTCACATGACTTCACCTCATCACCGCTAAGCTAAAGGTGGCTAATGTTGGGCTATAAAGGAACTACAGCACGGTCACATGACTTCACGTCACCACCGCTAAGCTAAAGGTGGCTAATGTTGGGCTATAAAGGAACTACATCACGGTCACATGACTTCACGTCACCACCGCTAAGCTAAAGGTGGCTAATGTTGGGCTATAAAGGAACTACAGCACGGTCACATGACTTCACCTCATCACCGCTAAGCTAAAGGTGGCTAATGTTGGGCTATAAAGGAACTACAGCACGGTCACATGACTTCACATCACCACCGCTAAGCTAAAGGTGGCTAATGTTGGGCTATAAAGGAACTACAGCACGGTCACATGACTTCACGTGACCACCGCTAAGCTAAAGGTGGCTAATGTTGGGCTATAAAGGAACTACAGCACGGTCACATGACTTCACGTCACCACCGCTAAGCTAAAGGTGGCTAACGTTGGGCTATAAAGGAACTACAGCACGGTCACATGACTTCACATCACCACCGCTAAGCTAAAGGTGGCTAATGTTGGGCTATAAAGGAACTACAGCACGGTCACATGACTTCACGTCACCACCGCTAAGCTAAAGTTGGCTAACGTTGGGCTATAAAGGAACTACAGCACGGTCACATGACTTCACGTCACCACCGCTAAGCTAAAGGTGGCTAATGTTGGGCTATAAAGGAACTACAGCACGGTCACATGACTTCACGTCACCACCGCTAAGCTAAAGGCGGCTAATGTTGGGCTATAAAGGAACTACAGCACGGTCACATGACTTCACGTCACCACCGCTAAGCTAAAGGTGGCTAATGTTGGGCTATAAAGGAACTACAGCACGGTCACATGACTTCACGTCACCACCGCTAAGCTAAAGGTGGCTAATGTTGGGCTATAAAGGAACTACAGCACGGTCACATGACTTCACGTTACCACCGCTAAGCTAAAGGCGGCTAATGTTGGGCTATAAAGGAACTACAGCACGGTCACATGACCTCACATCACCACCGCTAAGCTAAAGGTGGCTAATGTTGGGCTATAAAGGAACTACAGCACGGTCACATGACTTCACGTCAACACCGCTAAGCTAAAGGTGGCTAATGTTGGGCTATAAAGGAACTACAGCACGGTCACATGACTTCACGTCACCACCGCTAAGCTAAAGGTGGCTAATGTTGGGCTATAAAGGAACTACAGCACGGTCACATGACTTCACCTCATCACCGCTAAGCTAAAGGTGGCTAATGTTGGGCTATAAAGGAACTACAGCACGGTCACATGACTTCACGTCAACACCGCTAAGCTAAAGGTGGCTAATGTTGGGCTATAAAGGAACTACATCACGGTCACATGACTTCACGTCACCACCGCTAAGCTAAAGGTGGCTAATGTTGGGCTATAAAGGAACTACAGCACGGTCACATGACTTCACCTCATCACCGCTAAGCTAAAGGTGGCTAATGTTGGGCTATAAAGGAACTACAGCACGGTCACATGACTTCACCTCATCACCGCTAAGCTAAAGGTGGCTAATGTTGGGCTATAAAGGAACTACAGCACGGTCACATGACTTCACGTCACCACCGCTAAGCTAAAGGCGGCTAATGTTGGGCGTGATGTCATTAAGTCGTCTCATTTAGACCCTTGTCAGCAACCGTCGTTAGTAAATCCACCAGTGAGGTATTTACTGACATACTTTACGCAGTAGAATATAAATCTCTTCAGCTCGTCTTAACCACAGACCTTATTTCAGGAACATGTGAACATAAAAACATTCAGAAACCATTGACCTCCAGACAGGGGACAGGAAGTGCTGAGTCATGTTTCAGGACTGGTTCCTGCAGCTTTCACACGTCTCCTCTTGAAACCACAGTGACAGAGAGTGAAAGTGCTGTGATGTTGTTCCTTTCTTCTGTATTTTGGATGTGGTGACCTGCTCTTTGTTAAACTGTTAACCTATATACGAAATATAAATAGGATAAAGTCGTGTAAACAGGTTTTCCTTACAGCAAGTTCTGAATATAAACTGAGGAGGATATTTCCAGCTCACTATTAACTGTTGTGTGTGTGTGTGTGTGTGATCCTGCAGGGCAGAGCGATGGAGAGGGCAGACGAAGTGAGTCACACACACACACACACACACACACACACACACACACACACACACACACACACACACACACACACACACACACACACACTGCTGTCATGTAACAGCACCGTTTCCTTTTCAAATGGATCTCAGTGTTTCCGTACCCGGTGCCCCCCATCGAAGAGAACATGCTGGATGAGGGGAAGCTACTCAAGCCCTGGGACACCAAGAAGGTAAGTACAGTTATTTTAAAAAGTGCTTGTTGACTTATTTATTAATGTGTAAATCCACTAAATAAAACTTAAAAAACGTTATTATAACTATGTATTATTCTCCAGTTGCCTCTGTTGTCGTCCCGGCCAAAATCCTGTGAAGTCCCTGGCATCAAGTAAGTCTAACATCACCACACACACACACACACACACACACACACACACACACACACACACACACACACACACACACATACACACATACACATACACACATACACATACACATACACACACACATAGACACATTGAAGTACACCATATACCTCCCAATTGTAGTGGAGTAGTGGTACAAGTACCTCAAAAAGTGCAGTACTTGAGTAAATGTACTTAGTTACTGAACCCTGTGTCCTCAGCATCTTCTCGTCTCCGGAGCAGCCGTCCCCCCCCCCGGTGCACGGCGTCCCGGCGTCTCTGAACACCGGCGGCTCGCTGCCCGATCTCTCCAGCCTCCACTTCCCGTCGCCGCTGCCCACGCCGCTGGACCAGGACGAGCCCTGTTACCCAGGATGCACCTCTCTGAGCGGGGGCAGCAGCACGGGGAACCTAGCCTCCACCCTCACGCAGCTGGGCATCAACGCCGCCAACGCTCAGGGCGGAAACGCCAACTTCCACCACCACACGCCAGGTACAACTCCACCTGTCTGTCTGGAATCACGTGAGGGTTCAAGATCTCACGGGATCTCTGGGGGCTGCTCACTGACTCTGATCTCAGCTTAAACTCTGACCAGGTCTTTAAATATCTACTGATATTCACCTAATGCTTCACCGGCTCTGTGGCGCTTCAGGTTGAAGTGTAATTCTTATTTCACACTGGCTTTTAAATGAACTGTTATTAAGTTATAACAGTTTTAAGTGGAAAAACAAACTATTTAGATTAACTATTTTGTATTACTTTGACTAAAGTACCAGACCTGAGTTACTGAAGTAAGAGGTACTCCTCCCAGCCTCTCAGTTAACCTGGTTCAGTGTGTGTGGATCAAAGTGTCGGCTAAGAGCAGGTTAGCACAGGAAGTGTGTGGGCGAGGGGATGAGATGAAGGGGGGAGGTACGGCGAGGCCAGGCGCTAAATTTAGCCTTCAGAGAGAGAAAAGAGAAAGGAGAGGAGGGTGCTTTTTTTATTTTAAGGGCGGAAGTGCAGTCGGAAAATGTCGCCTTGTTTTATGGTCTGTGGGCTGCAGCGAGGCAGGAAGCTGCTGCAGCCTCACGATGTTACAACACAGTCTCACTGACGGCTGCTTCTTGTAGTCACACGCAGGCTCTGATACATAATTGGCAGTAATGAGGATTTTTATCGACGGGTCAAGAGTCATAATAGAAGAGCTGGCACAGTCTTGTAAATTGGACTTAGTTTTATTGAAGCTCAGCCTTTAAAACCAGGAATAAACCCCTGACAGTAAGAGTCGAGCTTCACAATATGGATATGATATCAATAAATCATGAAATGCTTTACAACAGCTTTCAGCAGATCTGCAGACACAACTCTGTGCTTGTGTCTGCAGATTATCACATGAAGCCTCATTTGCATATTTAAACACATGTCGGAAAACTTAATATAAAAAGGGATGGTGTTAATGTCAGTAATGAGGTGGTGGTATGTGTGTTCTGTATGTAAACAGGTGTGTTCAGGTGTGTTCTGTGTGTGTGTGTGTAAACAGGTGTGTTCTGTATGTAAACAGGTGTGTTCTGTGTGTGTGTGTAAACAGGTGTGTTCTGTATGTAAACAGGTGTGTTCTGTGTGTGTGTGTAAACAGGTGTGTTCAGGTGTGTTCTGTGTGTGTGTGTAAACAGGTGTGTTCTGTGTGTGTGTGTAAACAGGTGTGTTCTGTATGTAAACAGGTGTGTTCTGTGTGTGTGTGTAAACAGGTGTGTTCTGTATGTAAACAGGTGTGTTCTGTATGTCAACAGGTGTGTTCTGTGTGTGTGTGTGTAAACAGGTGTGTTCTGTGTGTTCAGTGTGTGTGTGTAAACAGGTGTGTTCAGTGTGTATGTGTAAACATGTGTGTAAACATGTGTGTTCTGTGTGTGTGTGAACATGTGTGTTCTGTGTGTGTGTGAACATGTGTGTTCTGTGTGTGTGTGTAAACAGGTGTGTTCAGTGTGTAAACAGGTGTGTTCTGTGTGTGTGTGTGTGTAAACATGTGTGTTCTGTGTGTGTGTGTGTAAACAGGTGTGTTCTGTGTGTGTGTGTGTGTAAACAGGTGTGTTCTGTGTGTGTGTGTGTGTAAACAGGTGTGTTCTCTGTGTGTGTGTGTAAACATGTGTGTTCTCTGTGTGTGTGTGTAAACAGGTGTGTGTGTAAACAGGTGTGTTCTCGTCCCCCTCAGGTCTGATGGCGTCTCTGCAGACGACTCTTAGCAACCCCTCCCTGCAGTCGTCGCTAAGCAACCCCAACATCCAGTCGTCGCTCAGCAACCACTCCTTCTCCAACTCTCTGAGCTCCGCCTCCCTGCACTCGTCGCTCAGCAACCCCTCGCTGCAGTCTTCGTTAAGCTCCTCCCCTTCGCTGCAGTCCTCCCTCAGCAGCCAATCGCTGCACTCCTCCCTCAGTAGCTCCTCCCTGCAGTCGGTGTCCAGCGGTAACCCCGGATACGGCGGCGGAGGCTCCTCCTCTTTCTCGCCGTCGCTAAGCACATCGCCACGGAGACGGGCGCAGCTCTCCCCCCTCATCCTGCCCCTGGGGGGGGACTCCCGGAGGCATCACTCCAAGCAGTTCTCCCCCACCATCTCCCCCACGCTGTCCTCCATCACACAGGTAACAACTACAGATGTTATTATACTTTTCTTCAAATAGGTTCCTATCTGTGTTTTTTTACATGTGTTAGAACAAGTTCCTTGACAGTGAGTCTCACACAACATGGTACAGATACAATATCATACTGTTATATACAAAAAGTACAATACACAATAGTAATTATCAACAAAGCATAAAGAAATATGTAGTCCAAAGAGGCTTACAACAGATGGCCATTTCTCTGACTTCACTTCCATCTTGAGTTGTAGTTCTCTATCTGTGTTTTATTTAATGTCTGCACCACGACACCAAGTCAAACTCCCCGTATGTGTCCACCTACCTGCTGATAAACCTGATTCTGAACGACACAGGAAGCGGCACTGTGTGCATCTGCAGATATCAGTGTGATCTTTTTAACTTCTTTACCGAGCATTTAATCATAATTTGTACCTCTTAAACACGTTATCTATGATCTCTGGTGAACAGAGAGGAGCACCAGCAGGAAGCTACACTGTGGAGGACGTCTGCAGATATCAAGTGTTCACTCTTTACTGAGCATTTGATGTATTTATCATTATTTTAAACACTTGGAGACGTTATCTATGATCTCTTCATAGAAAACAGACTTCATGATGGCTGTAGAGACAGAGAGGAGCACCAGCAGGAAGCGGAGCAAAGTTCTGCTGTAGACGAAATGGCTCGGACAATTTGGGAGTGATATTAGGGCTTAGCCTACAGAGAGTATAAATATGACAACTTGGTTAAAACTGACATTTTTTTTTATCCTATTAATATCAGAAATGGATTCAGCGTCCTCAATAACCCCCAAACCCACCACACACACAATTTACCAAATTGGCCATGCCATTTTTTAACTATTGTCTACATTGGCTATAATGCTAATTAACACCACTTATGCTAATTGTGTAAATGTCCCAACACATGCAGGTCAGCATCCGGCAGTCTCTATGTGCTGGAGACCCTACTATACATTTCTAACATAACACTTTAGGGGTACTCAACATTTCTGTGTGCTGGCAACTAGACCAGCGGTTCTCAAACCGAGGGTACTGCAGGTGGTCCGGGAAAAAAATTAATTAAAATAAAATAAAATCCACTTTTTATTATCAAGGATTTATGCGGACCACCTCATATGCAAACTGTAAAAATAAGTACATATATAAACGTAGTGTTAAAACTCAGATATTTGTTAATTATGGACAACACTTAATTTCACTACTGGTTACCCATGGTTACGTGTGCGCGTGCAACACCACAAACATGGATCGGTGGCTAGCATCATGTTCTCTGAAGAGAAAAGAGGTTAATGAAGATGATGAGAGAGTCGGAGGCAGCTACAAGCCAGATTCCACAGAAAAGAACAAAGGAAGGGAAGATTAAGAGAAAGCACAATGGGAACTACTTGGAACTGGGATCGACCTACACGGCACTGAAGATGAGCCTTTGCCAGTATGCGTTCTGTGCTAACGAGCCTAAAACCAGCTAGTCTACGCCGTCAATCTTGGAATCTGGCACTACGTTTATATATGTACTTATTCTTACGGTTTGCATATGAGGTGGTCTGCGAAAACCCTTGATAATAAAAAGTGGTCCGCATAAACAAAGAGTTTGAGAACCCCTGAACTAGACGACTAACTTATTAGATGCAAAGGTTTTATCATCATATGCTCATGAGCTACAGAGTAGAAATGGCAATGGAACTCTCCTGACCTGAGCTCCTCCAACAACGCAATGCATATGATAAAATACACAAATAAAAATTTGTGCAAGAAGTCTATAAACATGTCAATATAATATAGGACAGAATATGAAATTAAATAATGTACATTAAGACACAATAAAATACGGTTTATTGCGGTGATAACTATTTATATAAATTAGTAGATTGCAAGATGCAAGCAGGAATGTTTATCGGGGGACTTTTTGAACTTTCAAGGTTCAAGGCTTTGATGGTCATTAATAGCTACAGTGAAGATATGACAATGAAAATCTGAGGTCACAGGCTCCTCCCACAGAGCAACACAATAACACAGATACAATAGTGCAAGTTAATACAATAAAATAGAATATAATAGAAATAGTGCAAGAATAGTCTATATACAAGTAATTGGAATATGATGTATTAGATAAATAAACACAGCTCAGGAGTGGAGTGCACCAGCTGGGCGTAAGCTGGTCGTAACTCTACGTCCGACGAGAAGGTTACGACCAAACTAAAGTTATGACTAGTGCACCACTTAGACTTAAAGGAGAGGTGTCATGGCCATTTGCACTGATCATAATTCCATTGTTGAGGTCTACTAGAATAGATTTATATTGTGCATTTCTCCAAACTCACATTGGTTTCTCAAACAGCATCTCTGTAAACTACGTATTCACTGAATTTCACTCTCTGCCTTTAACGGCTCGTTGGAGCTCCAATAGCTCCAGCCCCCACCCTCCCTGTGAGCACAGTGTGCTCTGATTGGTCGGGACGTTGTGAATCGCGCTGAGCTACGTGGAGGTGTTGTTTCCTTGTTAGCGATACACAGCCAAACACAGCCAAACTCATCCTGAGCACACACACAGCCGAAGTAAAAACAATAAGTGTGGCTTGATATTGAGTAAGAAAAAGGTTGATAAACGCTGTGAGAATGGGTCTGCAGAGAGAATGGGTCTGCAGAGAGAATGGGTCTGCAGAGAGAATGGGTCTGCAGAGAGAATGGGTCTGCAGAGAGATTGGGTCTGCAGAGAGAATGGGTCTGCAGAGAGATTGGGTCTGCAGAGAGAATGGGTCTGCAGAGAGAATTTCGCCGCGATCCCAACTGTCTGTTATCAGCCTGCAGCCAGGAAGGAGAAATCAGCTGAGCTGCCTGTGTGTGAGGAAGTCCGTGGATTGGTCAATTTGGACCAATCAGCGGGGGCTTAACGTAACGGCGCCACGGATTGGTCCATTTCGTTCCGGGTACGGCATGACATCATGCCGTACCCGGAACGAAATGGAAGAATCGAATGGACAATGACGTATCTCCAACGAGGCGTTTTGGGGAGGTATTTTCTGTGTTAGAGTTTTACTCGCTACAGGGTGTACTTTGAGGGTTTGTGACTCTGCACACCGTTTACATGCAGAAAGACCTTCATAACACACAAGGGGACGGGTAATAACCGGAAAAGCATGACACCTCTCCTTTAAGCCCTGTATGCGTTGAGCCCAGGTGTAACTCTTACGCCTAGTATGGAGCAGGCGTAAATCGGGAAGACAGACTAGTATCCATAGTAACGTAAAACAGGCAAGAAGTGAAATAACGATGGCAGTGCGTCTTGTTTACAGGTTTAACAACGAAAGGGCATTAAAACGAGAGAGTCGTCCATGATGGAACAAACCCACTGGACATCTACTCAGTGAGCTGATGGAGAGGTTTCGTTTCGGCAGACAAGCCCTTTCTGAATGAATCGAGGAGATCTCCACTCAACTCCAGCACGGATCAGACAGAAACGCTCTCCCCAACCTAGCTTGCTTTGAATGGAGAAGTTCGAGTGTTAAATTATGTAGACGTGTGTTGCCTGGCAACAATTACTGTTTGGCGTGTATTGACGTGAACGCGCATCTTAAGACTAGGCGCAGCTACGACCGTGACTAGTCAGGCCTGGTGCACTCGGTGTAAATTCTAATCACTAAGTCGGACATAGCTAAGCCCGACGTTAGAGTTAACACCTACTTTTTTAGGCCTAGCTGGTGCACTCCACTCAGGTGTTTAGCAGTCTTATTATGGTGAATAATAACATTTCCAACCCCCACCCCATCCACAGGGCGTCCCTCTGGACACCAGCAGACTTCCTCTGGACCAGCGGCTCCCTCCATACCCGCTCAGCCAGTCCCAGCAGCACCCTCAGGGCTCCCAGCAGCACCAGCAGCACCAGCAGGGCTCCCAGCAGCACCAGCAGCACCAGCAGGGCTCCCAGCAGCACCAGCAAGGCTCCCAGCAGCACCAGCAGCACCAGCAGGGCTCCCAGCAGCACCAGCAGGGCTCCCAGCAGCACCAGCAGCACCATCAGCTCCACCTTCAGAATCTCCGCAACTCTCACAACCAGCAGCTGCAGCACTTCAGCTCAGCGGAGGTGGGAGAAGTACTCAGATCTAAAGTAGATTGTTCTTACGGCTACACAGCATGGTACAAAGGTGGGAAGTAGTGGAGTACAAATACTTCGTTACTGTACTTAAGTACATTTTTCTGGTATCAGTACTTTACTCTACTACACAAATACCTGTACTTTCTACTTCTTACATGTTGAACTCAAATACCTGTACTTTCTACTTCTTACATGTTGAACACAAATACCTGTACTTTCTACTTCTTACATGTTGAACTCAAATACCTGTACTTTCTACTTCTTACATGTTGAACTCAAATACCTGTACTTTCTACTTCTTACATGTTGAACACAAATACCTGTACTTTCTACTTCTCACATTTCCAAACAGGCTGGTTCCTTTGAATGTGTGTTTGGTGGCGTGATCATTATTATTTAGAGTCATTGCGTGCCTATTGATTTGAACACGATCCGTGTATCCATCATTTCCTGGTCTTCTCTAAAGAAGAGGGACCAATGAAAACGTTGTCATGTTGCCGTTGTTCAGCATGGAAACATTCATTAGCTAACAATGACATTATTGTTCTATTAATATAAACGGAGGTCAGGTACTCTTTAAAACGAAAGTTACGTATGTAACTACCGTTCTATGAATCCTGGATGACCGCCAGAAGCAGTGCTTATCACTGGATATCTTCTGCATGCGCAGGTCGAGTATTTATGTCAAAGTCACGTGTGACCTCGCATGACCCCGGAAAGCATAAGTTCCGGTGTTGTCATTGAGTTCAGTCCTATATGATCTTCACGCGGGAACACGAGATTCTGAGTGACTAAGAACTCTGGCGGTCATCCAGGATTCATAGAACCGTAGTTACATACGTAACTTTCATTCTATTTCATCCTTACTGACCTCCAGAGGCGGTGCTTAGCACTGGATGACTTCATGAGGAAACCTGAGTACCCATCCTATAGGGATGGCCTAGGTGGACTCTGCAGGAGGGCCACACCCAGCGGGTGAGGGGCGGCAACATTCACTCTGTAGTATCTGGCGAATGTGCTCAGAGATGCCCATGTGGCCGCGGCACATATGTCCTCCAGGGGCACACCTCTCAAGGTCGCCCATGAAGTGAAGACACTCCTGGTAGAGTGGCACTTTACTCCGAGTGGTAAGGGACGGTCATTCGCCTTGTATGCACGGTCAATGACGTCCACGATCCAGTGGGACAAGCGCTACTTTGAGAGAGCACGGCCCCTTCTAGGACCACCGTAACACACAAAGAGCTGTTCAGACTGACGTACGCCTGCGGTAGTCTGGACATAAGCTCTAAGGGCCCGCACCGGGCATAGGAGTCTTGACCTCTCCTGATGGGGGGTCAAACCGTGCCAGCTGGATAGGCCGATTGAGATGAGAGCGTGCCAGCACCTTAGGGAGGAACGCTGTATTCGGCCATAAAGTGACACCTGAGCCATCTGAGTTCCACCTCACCGCTGTTCACGGACAAGGCCTGAAGCTCGCTTACGCACTTTGCTGAAGTGATGGCAAGAAGGAAAGCAGTCTTGGCTGAGAGCCACCTCAGTTCTGCCTGTGACAAGGGTTCAAAGGGAGGCGAGCATAGGGCGTCCAGCACCAAGGGCCGGTCCCATGTAGGGGCCCTTGGGACGTTTGGGGGGCGCAGCCTCAGAGCTCCCCTTATTAAGAAGAGGGATACCAGCCTGTGGCTCCCCGATGTGTTGTCAACCCTTGCGTGTTGAGATGAGATAGCAGCCACATGCACCCTGACGGGAGCGGGACACCGGCTGTCGTCCAGGAGGGACCGCAGGAACTCAAGGACAGTAGGCACCGAGCGATGCACTGGGTCCTCGTTTCGCCCTTGGCACCAGTCAGAAAATAGTTCCTACCTGTTTTCTGACTGTAGACGAGTAGACGGTGCCCTGGCATTGAGAAAAGTCCTCATGACAGGCTCTATGCAGTCGCTCAGCAGCGGGTCGGGCCCTCCAGACGGGCAGCGCATATACATTACAGTTAAGGCCCCTAGCAGCACGAGGCACACATTGCAGGCCTACTTTGAACTTTGCTTTTGAAAGAGTCTCAGTGTGAAGGTGCAGTTTCTGATCCTGTTACGTTCTCCTGTGAGCAACAAGGAACGACACTGGACCAAATCAAGTGAAAGAATAATAAAAACCAGGTGTTTTCTCTTGTAATAAGTAAAGAAATAGGTCAACAGAACAAGTGAACATCAGCTCGGTTCATGAAATAAGACGGAATATTTAGATAAATGAGATCTTGATAATTTAGGTTTCACCTTCATCACACATGGTGCCGCTTGTTTGTACTATTTTCAGGCAATTTGTAATCTATTCTAGAAAATCGATGTTTTTTTAAATGTATTTCAAGAAGCATATAAACAAACAATGGATGTCTTTTATGAACATTTATTGAAATGACTATTTTCTGATGTCAAGAGACGTAGACTACTTTCCACTGTGGGATTTGAATACATTTCTGAGTGATAACATTTTCGTCGTGTTTTTTCTTTTGTACTTATGGTCTCATGACTATTTGTACATCCCTGTGACATCGTGACACCCCTGCAGCCTACACGTGCTGATAGCTTAGCTTCTTATGAAAAGGACCATGTATATAACTTCAATGTGCAGCTCAGGGTTCATGTGTTTGAAGCATTTTTACAACAAAAAGAAAACAGGCAATCCCAACATGTGAAAACAGGGCTGAGACCTCAGAGGGTTCAGCTATCAGGTCTCAGATCGAGGGTAAACACGTGTTCTGAGGATATCAGAGATGTTCTTGAGTTTTCACAGTTCAGGCGATGTTGTGTTTCCAGCAGCAGCAGCAGCAGAGGGCGATGGGGCAGCAGATGAACTCGGGGAACGCTCAGCTGATAAAGAACGAGCGGCAGATGGATCCGTGTCTTCAGGTCGCTCAGCGTCACGTCAAACAGGAAGTGGAGCAGCAGAGAGCCGGCGGCCCCCCCCACCTCCAGCAGATCAGCCACAGCCTCGCCACCGACCTCTACAACGTGAGGAAGCTCAACCAAGGATACTCAGGGGGGGGGGGGGGACCAGTACTCTGGTCTTGTACTTAAGTAAAGATAGAAGTACTCAGATCTTGTACTTGAGTAAAAGTAGAAGTACTCCGATCTTGTACTTGAGTAAAAGTAGAAGTACTCAGATCTTGTACTTGAGTAAAAGTAGAAGTACTCCGATCTTGTACTTGAGTAAAAGTAGAAGTACTCAGATCTTGTACTTGAGTAAGTACTCCGATCTTGTACTTGAGTAAAAGTAGAAGTACTCAGATCATGTATTTGAGTAAAAGTAGAAGTACTCAGATCTTGTTCTTGAGTAAAAGGAGAAGTACTCAGATCCTGTACTTGAGTAAAAGTAGAAGTACCAGAGTGTAGGAATACTCTGTTACAGTAAAAGTCCTGCATTCAAAATGTTCCTCAAGTAAAAGTAGAAAAGTATTCTCATCAAAATATAGTGAAAGTACCAAAAGTAAATAAAATAAAAATATATAGTAAATAGGATTTTATGAAAGTTTTTTTATATTTCTGTCATTGCTTGTTGTGCTCCTGTCAACACGACACAGATCCTGTCATTACATAATACGCCATTTAATTTATTTTGTCCTCTTTCCCAGGATGCCTTGTTCAACTCTCTGCTGGACGACCCCTATCTGAGTCTGCAGCTCACGGGCAAATCCAACCAGCAGGTAACACACACACACACACACACGCACACAGACGCACAGACACACACACACACACACACACACACACAGACACACACACACACACACACACACCACACACACACACACGCACACACACGCACAGACACACACACAACACACACACACACACACACACACAACACACACCACACACACGCACACACACGCACAGACACACACACACACACACACACACACACACACACACACACACACACACACACACACACACACAGACGCACACACGCACACGCACACGCACACACGCACAGACACACACACACACACACACGCACACACACGCACAGACACACACACACACACACACACACACACACACACACGCACACACACGCACAGACACACGCACAGACACACACACAGACACACAGTCAAACATACATTTAAAAAACAGCTCATGTTATGCAATACTCAATGTGAGGTGAAAACTAAAAGGATCATCCTATCATCGCCATCATTAAACCAATCCTGTATAATACAGCCTAACATCTCTAGCGGACATCAGATCTGGGATTTATCTCTGTATTTAATGTGAGGATGGAGCTTCAGTCTGACTTTATTAAACCCTCTGATCTGACGGCAGTAATCCGTACTCTCTGTCATGTTCTCCTCTCCGGTGTATTTCTCCTGCCTTGAATCTTTTCTGTGCTTCAGTTTTCCGCAGAGAGCCAGGGCGACTGTCTCTCTCTGAACCACGCTCTGAGCTCCGATAAGAACCAGTTCCCCTGCAACAGCCAGGGGCCTCTGGACCTGCAGGACCCCCAGAACCAGAACTACTGCGGGGGGGACGGCCGCCACAACGTGCCCAACATCATCCTCACCGGTGGGTTTATCCACAGGTTTACCGCCAGCAGCTGATGGGCAGCGTTTCAGCGCTCCGTGTTATTCCTGACAAAACCTGGTTAATATACAGATATACAGAAGAGAGGCAGTGTGCATTATGCTGGTCTGTCACAGTGTTTCTCAAAGTGGTCCGTGAGCGCCCCCTAGTGGTCCGTGAATATATTGGTAAAATTTCACATTTGAAATAAATTTATTTATTTAAGTTTTCCGCACTCTCGTGGGAATATCTCCGCGATGGAACGAGCTTACGTTTCACTTTTGATTGCATGATATAGCCCAGCGCAACACCTTCGTCACACATGTTGACACTTGTTTGTACCATTTTCCGGCGATTTTTAATCTGTTCTAGAAAAACGATGTGTTTTATTTTAGATTTCAAGAAGCGTATAAAACAAACAATGGATGTATTTGATGAACATGTATCCACGCTGGAAGTAGATTCAGATGCCAGGAGTGAGATAGAGGTTATTATCTAATATATGCATCCAATGAAGCATTGCATGAAGTCTGTTGATGATCAGAGGCTGTTGTTGGGGCAGACCATGCAGGCCAGCCCGATGGTCACCAAGGTTCATGTTTTAATAGCATTTTTACAAAAAAAGCCCACGCGAGGCTAACATGTGAAAAAAGGGCTTAGACCTCAGAGAGTTAGACTTCGGCCTGCGACCATCGGTTTACTGTATTTTGTTTTGAAAATCCACAGCGGAGGTTTGTGGCGTACTACAGGCGGTGTGTTTTGCATATCTCTCAGTAGCCAACGATCTGTGAGTCTGTTGGACATAAACTACGTAATAAATGTAGTCTACATTTCATAAGAGGTGTAAAACCTGAGAGCATTTTAAATGGCATTTGAACGAAAGGCTTATATAATCTGTAGTTGTATTGTTGATTTATTGTGTGAACGAGGCGATGTAGAGAAGGTGTCATTATTAGGCTGTACTGTTGGAGTGGAGCAGGCCTATTGTTTCTGGGTATTTGGGGAGTCAGGTGGTCCGCAAGTGTTTTTTTATTGGATAAGTGTCCTTGGTATGAAAAAGTTTGAGAAACACTGGTCTATCAAACTCACAACATGTAAAAACAATATAAACTTTACATTTCAGTTTGCTGATTAAATTATGGTTTTAGCTTCATTTTAAATCTTCCACCTGAAAACTACAAATGAGTGAATGAGAGATCTGGATAAACAAAGAGCAACTCCAGATCCCCATTAGCACGAGCATCGGCTATTCTTCCTGGGGTCCTCACACACACTCTCAAACATACATCAAACTAAAACAAAACAGCTCATCATTTTCATGCAATTTACAATGCTACTTGAGGTTTCAAAGCCAAGAAGGTTTTAAATCTCTGAGTGTCTCGATCAGTGTTTCTCAATCTTGTTCATACCAAGGACACTTAACCAATAAAAAAGCACTCGCGGACCACCTAACTCCACAAATATCCCAAAACACATCGTTTCTCTAGAACAGATTACAAATCGCCTGAAAATGGTACAAACAGGTGGCAACATGTGTGAGGAAGGGGTTGCGCTGGGCTATATCATGCATGAAACTTAAGCTCGCTCCTTTGCGGAGATATTCCCGGGAGAGTGCGGAAAACTTAAATTAATTTATTTATTTCAAATGTGAAATTTTACCAATATACTCACGGACCACTAGGGGGCGCTCACGGACCACACTTTGAGAAGCACTGGTCTAGAACCATTTTTCACAAACGCTGAGCTCACAGTGTCAGTTATTAAATCAGTCTTCCTGATTTCTTGTTCTACTGTTAGAAAACTCTCACTGGTCTCCGGCTTGAGCTTCAATCTCAGGATCCATGTATCTGTGATCCTCTCCAGAATGGAAGTAGTCATCACATACAGAGCATCAGCTAGTTCCTGAACAGTGTCCTTCACATGCTGATATCCAAGAGAGGGAGTTACACAGTCACAAGATGGAGGAATAGAAAGCAGTATTCAATGTTTACTTCAGATTAGCTCCACGTCAGAAATGAGCATGCTTGTCATATGTCTATCTCCATAGAGGCTGAATCATCATGTTAATCACATAGCTATCATATGCCTCAAACAGTCCTGATGCTCTTCTAGGTAATCATACATCCTGTCATGTTCACAGCTACAGTTGGGATACCTTTGTTAGCATGCTACTCTCATGTTGGAAGAGGACGCTCAGTGTTTCCCTCCCTCCCTCCTTCTGCAGGAGACTCCCCCCCTGGCCTCTCTAAAGAGATCACCAGCGCTCTGTCTCACGTCCCGGGCTTCGAGATGGACCCCTTCTCTCTGGACGACCCGCTCCGGATGGACCCTCTGGCTCTGGACATGCTGGACGGGGATCTGATGCTGGCCGACCCCGCCGTGGAGGACTCCTTCAGATCCGACCGCTTCAAGTGAGGAGGAGGAAACCCACGAGAGACGCTCAGCAGAGCCAGGTTTGGGAGTCAAACCTCCGAGGACTTTTCTCTCCTGGACCATCAAAGGCACTTAACTCAAAAAAAGCTCTCGCAACGCTTGAAGTCAAGAAAAACCCGTTGCTGTGTCTCGATTCGCGTACTTCTGTTCGTCTTACACCAGCTGATTAGTGCGTCCCAATGCGAAGTATAGCAAAATGCACTGAGAGTACCGGATGGAGCTGGTCACATGTCACGCTCAACGACAACCGCCATCTTGGCTACGTAGCTGAAGCCGCGAATGATCCGGTGAACAAAGCACTGTACAAACAAATATATACGATATGACTTCACTATTCAAAAACATACGACAATACTGTGGTCAAAAAAAGAAGCAATCCCTAAGGAATAAGTCCTCGCACACAGGCGTGAGTCAGCATTTTAGCACTTCCTGTCCCCTTATCTGGAAGTCAATGGTTTTATTGAATTAGTTTTTGGTAAGATGCCTGAAATAAGGGCGTAACGTACCACGATACTCGTGTCCAAAAGAAGCCCCGTTCATTATCTGGGTTCAGCAGCCTGTAAGGATCTGGTAGCTCAAACAATCGTTGCTAACTAGCTAGCTTGCTAATAACAGCGTTCTGAAGGAAGTATCCGGATTGAGACACAGCGCTTCTCTTATTGTTACGGCATTAGCTTGTACGATCTGCATGTCAATGGAAAATGCACTCGCTTAAAATGCAAAAAGAAAACATGTCAGCTTTATGTAAAAGAAAAAGAAAAGTCTGTAAAACCAGCAGTGCTTGTTAGATCGAGAAAATAAAATATGCATCGTGATGATCGGTCCGACTGTTGCAGGGACGCGTGCGCCGGATATTTCAGGTTCAGCTTCCTCCGCTTTATCCGCCACTTTGACAGGAACTCAGCCATGACTCAGAGGTCTGTATATTTTTTTTAAATGAAAGCTTTCCCTGCTCCGACAGTCCTCAGAATAAAAGAGGGTCCGGTCGGTCGGTGGAGAGCAGGTTAAAGGTGTGTTCAGTGTGAAGCCCCCGATATGCTGCTGCTTCTCAAGTGACTTAATCATGATGTCGCCCCCCCCCCCCCCACATTAAACTCCTCTAATCATCCTGTGATGGCAGAAGACGCCCGAGCTTTAACCTGAGAGCTCACGAGTAACACGTCGTATTGGACAAAATGGACAAATGTATATATTTTCTGAATGTAATTCAAACCCAGGTGATGACTGTCACCTCGTGCTCTTCAGACGGTAGAGACGGACGTACATCTATTCTATGTTTCAACGTTTCTTACCGCAGTTTTTTTGGGTGATTTTGGTGTAAAAATCACGTTTACAATCAAACAACATTTGGTTTAGAATTTCGTTTTTTTTTTTGCTCGGATGCTGTAAAGTATTTCTGAGAAGATTATTTGTGACTTTTTCTCACATTTTTGCTCTTTAAAAATATACTAAAGATTTTTGCCTTTTTCTAAAAACACAAATCAATCCGAGAAGCTCGCATTACAAGTTTCTTATTGATTGATTTCATTGATTTTCTAATTGATTTCAACATCATTAGAAGGACAACCAAGGAAAACTACAAAAACAGACACTGCAGTATTTAAAACTACATTTGAAGGTAGAAAGAAAATAAGAAAATATATACGCAAATATACTTTCCACGTAAATATCCTTAATTGATATATTTAAAAAATGAGTCACGAGTTCGTTGTGAAGCAGGGAAAGCGGCCACACTTTGGTTTCAAACAAATCATATTTTTGTCCAAAGAAGACCAAAGAAAAGTTGGGAATCATTGATTTAAATATCTATATAACAAATCGTTGAATTTTCCACCAGAATCACCAAAAAGCAGCTCGGGTGTTCCTCAGGTCAGCCGGCGTCTTCTACGTCACCGTCAAATCTTCACTTTCCTGAGCCTGCTTGTTCTTAAAGGTCCCCTATTCTCCTCCTCTTCATCAATATATTATAGGTCTCAGATATATCCAGAGCCTGTCTCTGATTGGCTGAAACACCAAACAGATCATTGCAGCATTACCCATAATCCCCTCTGTTTCAGCCCTGTTTCCAAAGTGCTGATTCTCTGTCTGTTACTTTAGATGAAAATAAGGAGCCCCTCCCCACGCCCCTCTGAGAGAGATTTGGTTACAAAGAACTCAAATGGTGCTCTAGGAGGAGATTCAGGTGATAAGGGGGGGGGTTACCTTGGTTGCTGATTGGCTAATGGTTACACAAGACAAAACATCGTTATGACATGTTGATGTAGAAGAGACATGGAGAAGTGGATTGTGTGTGATAGGTGACCTTTAAAGCATCTTCTGGTAACCGTTGTTCTGCGAGTCGGAGGTTTGGATGTAAATCTGCAGCGCCGTGTTTCCGACACACATTCCCTTTTTAACGGAGCGTCTCGCTGAAGAAGAAAGTGCTGACGATGCATCGCCTGCACCCGCCTGTAGTCGCCGACTTGTTTTATATAAAACATTATGCATTTAAATGATGAAACTGAATGTTAACTGCATCTGTTACTGAAACAACATATTAACGTGTACAAATCTGCATATTTCGTCCTGTTTGAAAGCGAGGTCGCTCCTCAGCTTTCTCGCTCTTCTTCAGGTTCTCAAAGGGCAATCCCCCCAACGTTTATCTACTCAGACTTTCACCACCAAGTGCCAACAGATAATGACTCGTGTGATATCTAAATATGGATCTAAGGCTGAAACTGAACACTGTTTGTATCGTTATCCATTCATCTGCCACGTATTTGCTCATTTAATGGACGGTCTAAATAATGCCAGAAGTCGAGTCGAGCGACTGTAAATAACTTATAACCCCTCTCTGTTTTAAATACAATATTCCAATGTGCGTACCAGTGGTTTTTCTAGAAAGATAGGGGGTGTTTCTCAATGTCGAGGACGCTTCCTTGTCTTCCGAGTCAGGTCCTTCAGAGGCGAGGCAAGAATCCTTCCTGGCATTCGGAGAACGAAGAGTGGAACAGGCGAGCAGGTGTGCGTCATATGAGACCTTACATCTTCCGCCAAAGATTTGGGAAATTGGTCCGTGCGCAAAGCATTGTGGGGATTTTAAGACCGCGGAGGATACACATGTGCAGCCTCGAAATTTCCCGCAACGAAGGACTCAGTCCTCGGTAGAATTCCAAGGAGCCTTGGAACAGTCCTTCGGTGGGACTCGATGACGTAGCGTCCTTGAAATAGTGGCTCTGAAGCAGCTTTCCTCGACATTGAGAAACACCCAGAGTATGAGTCCCGTGGCGCTGATCTTCTTTATAAGTTATATTAATTCTGGGGAGAATTTTTGTTTTTGATAATTATGAAGTAAATGAAATGGGGAAATGTGACTTTTGTTCGATCGCCTTTAGCCCAAAAGCACATGAGATGAAACGGCAGATTGATGGATGATGAAAGTTCACGAAGTACAGGACAGACTTTGATCTGTAAACTTTATTCAACAACAAGCTTTTGGCGGGATTGCCCTTTAACCCCGGGGGTCACTGTGACTGACAGCCCTTAGCCCCGCCTCCTTCTTACCTGCACTTCCTGTCCGAGCAGAGCAACATATTTTTATCTAACAAAAGGTAGAAAAGTATAATTATTATTAATGTTATTCTGACTATAGACGTTTTATTTTTTAATCCAAAGTGGTCTGTCTGTATATAATTCCTCAGATAATGTGTTTTGAAACAAAAAAATAAATACAGTATATTTAAGGTGTGTGTGTGTGTGTGTGTGTGTGTGTGTGTGTGTGTGTGTGTGTGTGTGTGTGTGTGTGTGTGTGTGTGTGTGTGTGTGTGTGTGTGTGTGTGTGTGTGTGTGTGTGTGTGTGTGTGTGTGTGTGTGTGTGTGTGTGTGTGTGTGTGATCAGTTAAAGGCCATATTTCATATTTTTTCATATTTTCTATCGATGTATGCTTTCAGCTTCTCTCGTATTGTTATTATTAGTTTCCACGTCTTTTTGCAGAATACAATGAGCGTCCTCGTCTGATGCTTTGTTTTGGAATAATAAATGGACTCTTTTGTTGTTATTGTTGTTTTCAGATGTTTATTTGAACCTTGTAATAAATAACCTGGGAATGTTGAGTGTTGTAAATATGAATATGTTTTAAAGCAGAGACATTTTTAAAGAGACTGTACTTCACATTATTTTACAGAAAATAAACAAATGAAACCTGCAGACTCTCCGTGTTCATATTACCATAAACAAACACATAGATCATATACTCAGAGGTGGGAAGTATATACTCAAGTACTGTAAGTAACTTTTGTACTTGACTTGAGTATTTCCATTTTATGCTACTGTGTACTTTTACTCCACTACATGTATTTAATACCTTTAGTTACTTCACAGATCTGGAGTAATTACTTACTATACTTTTACTCAAGTACAAGATCTGAGTACTTCTACTTTACTCAAGTACAAGATCAGAGTACTTCTACTTTACTCAAGTACAAGATCTGAGTACTTCTACTTTTACCCAAGTTCAATATCTGAGTACTTCTACTTTTACTCAAGTACAAGACCTGAGTACTTCTACTTGTACTCAAGTACAAGATCTGAGCACTTCCACTTTTACTCAAGTACAAGATCTGAGTACTTCTACTTTTACCCAAGTTCAATATCTGAGTACTTCTACTTTACTCAAGTACAAGATCTGAGTACTTCTACTTTTACTCAAGTACAATATCAGAGTACTTCTACTTTTACCCAAGTTCAAGATCGGAGTACTTCTACTTTACTCAAGTACAAGATCTGAGTACTTATACTTTACTCAAGTACAAGATCTGAGTACTTCTACTTTTACCCAAGTTCAATATCTGAGTACTTCTACTTTACTCAAGTACAAGATCTGAGTACTTCTACTTTTACTCAAGTACAATATCAGAGTACTTCTACTTTTACCCAAGTTCAATATCTGAGTACTTCTACTTTACTCAAGTACAAGATCTGAGTACTTCTACTTTTACTCAAGTACAATATCAGAGTACTTCTACTTTTACCCAAGTTCAAGATCAGAGTACTTCTACTTTACTCAAGTACAAGATCTGAGTACTTATACTTTACTCAAGTACAAGATCTGAGTACTTCTACTTTTACTCAAGTACAAGATCTGAGTACTTCTACTTTTACTCAAGTACAAGATCTGAGTACTTCTACTTTACTCAAGTACAAGATCTGAGTACTTCTACTTTTACTCAAGTACAAGATCTGAGTACTTCTACTTTACTCAAGTACAAGATCTGAGTACTTCTACTTTTACTCAATTACAAGATCTGAGTACTTCTACTTTACTCAAGTACAAGATCTGAGTACTTATACTTTACTCAAGTACAAGATCTGAGTACTTCTACTTTTACTCAAGTACAAGATCTGAGTACTTCTACTTTTAACTCAAGTACAAGATCTGAGTACTTCTACTTTACTCAAGTACAAAGATCTGAGTACTTCTACTTTACTCAAGTACAAGATCTGGAGTACTTCTACTTTACTCAAGTACAAGATCTGAGTACTTCTACTTTTACTCAAGTACAAGATCTGAGTACTTCTACTTTACTCAAGTACAAGATCTGAGTACTTCTACTTTACTCAAGTACAAGATCTGAGTATTTCTCCCACCTCTGGTTATTTGATCAAATGGTCCAAACAGTCCTGATATCCCTGAGCCTCCCTGAGCCCAAACGTTCCCACCTTCTGAACTCTCCTCTCTTTCCTCTCTTCACATTTGGGTTTTCCACAGAGACACACTTTGAAGACCTGCCGGCGATGTCCTTAAACAGCAGTGTATATAATAATAATCCTTTGAAAGCATCCTTATTGTGGTGCCAGCGTTTCGTCAGAGGAGGAAACAGACTTCCTTTAGATCTCTGGGTCACTCACTCTTCTCAAGTTTTCTGCAAGAGCTGCCGAAAATAAATGCATCCAAGAAGTCTGCAGATATCTGAAATATAGAAATAATCTGCAAGAGCGATGTGATCAGCTCATGTGACCGGATGAGGTTAACAGGAACAAGACGTTCTCTGGCTCGTGTCTCGGGTCTATTTATCAGTCCTAGTTTTATTTGTTATTTAACTCTTAA